AGGCAATAACAGGTCTGTGATGCCCTGGTTCAGCAACGTGGTGCAGCTGTTATAAAAGCCAGGAAGCAGTCAAGTGCTTTATCCGCTGCTAGTGCAGCTTGTGACCATATTCGTGATTGGGTTCTGGGAATCCCCAAGGTTTGGTCATAAACTTATGTACAAATCAATATAATATCACATCTTTCATCTCCAACTTCTTTTTTTTTCTATATAACTTCATTAAAAAAATTGTCCCACGTTGTTCATTGTTAGGGAACTTGGGTCTCCATGGGCGTCTGCTCTGATGGCTCTTACGGGATCCCGCCCGGACTCATCTACTCCTTCCCTGTTACTTGCGAGAAAGGCGAGTGGAAAATCATCCAAGGTACGCCCTTTGATATCGGATAGAGATTTATTTCATGGAGTTTTCCACCAAATTCAGGGTGAATAGTATAGCATAGTTTTTTTTTCCAGCATTTGGTGGCGCTATCTAAACGTTCTCATGAAAAAGACTCGAATTATCCAGAATAAGGTTTATGATTTGCTTTTTAGAACTAGCTCGAATTCAATGAGAAGCCTCGAGATTGTCCTATTACAAGGCTTTATATATACATTTGCACGATCTCATATACCAATATACCTACACATGTTTCGGTTGCAAATTATTTCAAAGTCTAATAACACGACGGGATTGTCCTTTTCGTTCGTATTAGTTCTGATCCGACGGACCGGACCGTGTAAATCACATGTGCTAATTGTTGCAGGACTCAGGATAGACGAGTTTTCAAGGTCGAAAATGGATGAGACCGCGAGAGAGCTCGTTGAAGAGAAGGCTTTGGCTTATTCCTGTCTCAATGTCTCAGACCGGTGAAGAGTAATTGCTCAAATTACTGTCATTCCAATGAAGTACGAAGGAGAATCACAGTTTGTGAATATTGTATTCAAATTTGTTTCATGTGGGCGGTCTGAAACAATTTAGTATTTATGATGTTTGATTTTACAAAAAAAAAAAAAGAATTTATGTTTATGTATAAATCACCTGATTTTAACAAGAAAATTGTATATTGAATAGGGTATTCCACCGTTCTATTGTCATTATTCAGACCAAAATCAAAACCATATTAATTGTTTTCCCCCTTAGATTGTGTGATTTGAAAGTGTATATTAGAAATTTAGAATTATGAGAAATATAAGTCTAATAAAAGACACGGAAAATATGCACGTATTTTGTTGTGTTTTGATATACATACACGTATTTCGTTTAATAAATATAAATTGTCCCACATCGAGAGATTTGAAAATTGTCTAGCATAATTTAAATACCACAACGACCAAACTATATTGCCGAGCCTGGTAACGCGGGCTTGTAACCTAAGTGGGGGCATTAAAGCGATGGAACGTCGGGTCGGATTATTGGGCCGGGCTTCGGCATGGGCTACTTACTGGGCCGCCCGTTCCAAGCCAGGAGTTGAGACACGTGTCTTGAGCGAAAGCTCTGGGTCACGTGGCTTCTAGAGTGGAGGGCACAGCGTGAGGCTGGTTTCACAGAGCAGCGACCACCTCCCGCTCTTGACGGTGGAAGGATCACGGTCCGAAGCTTTCCGAGCCCACTATGACCCATTGGTCCGCCCTCGATTGGACCATCGTTTTTTTTAAATATTTTATGTTGAATTTTCTTTATTCTTCTCCTTTTTTTTTTTTGGATTATGAATGTAAGATATCGAATTTTATCTATATCTGCCATCTTGTTGATTTTGATTCATTTTTTAGATGAAACGAAAATTTTCAATCAAAATTCTCAAACATTGCATAAATATAAAAGGATTATCACAAAAAAATTAAAATTTTAAATTTCGCAAATAAATAAACCTATTTTAAATTTTTATATATCCACATCAGCACGTGTAAAAATATCATGTCACCATAAAATTAAGAAAAAATACCACATCATCGATTTTGATTTAAAATAAATATAAATATTAAGAAAATAGAAAATTAAAAAATGCATGCATACATACATATATATATATATATATATATATATATGCACAGCACATGTATACATACTTACACGCACATATATAATATTAATAGATATGCAAGACTGCAAATACGAGAATATCGTACTATAAAAAATCAGTTATAAATAATATCGGCATATTCTTATTTATCACTAAACGCCCAAAACTCATTATGAAAAACAAGGTATGCCTTCGCGGGAGGAGATGGCGGAGGCTAGGGTTTCGATCTGGTTCTGCATCTCCTTTTTCTCTCTCATGACGCTAGCGAATCGAAGGAGAACGTCTCCACGCGCGCTTGGGCAGGGCAACTTCAGTGACGATTCGTCTCCTCGAGGACAAATACCCAGATCTTGTACGATGAAACTTCATTGTTTATCATATGTATATGAGTTTCACGAGGAACATGATTGAATCTTGACGAATATTCTTTTATTCAATAGGTCATCTACACCGATGTCGCTTTAGACCCGTACTCATCCGATGGGCATGATGGGATAGTTAGATGTTGTTAGTCCCGGTGATATGATGGACGCGCGAGTAGGCGCTATTCGGGCTGGCTTTCAACATGTTTCCATCATGTCCTACACGGCCAAGTATTGCAAAAGGATCTAATCTTTTGTCGGAATTCAATTTAGTTTAGAAAGAATTGTTCTTCATCTCTTCTAACGATTATGGCAACAGGTACGCAAGTTCATTCTCTGGCCCTTTCCGTGAATCGCTCGACTCGAATCCGCGTTTCGGGGACAAGAAAACGTAAATAACCAACAACCCGCATGGTTATCGATACTCGTTTTTGTTCTTGTCCCGCTCATTTTGCTCGGCCGATGACAGTTATCAGATCGATGAACCCGGCAAATTACAGAGAGGCTTTTGGTCGAGGCACGTGAAGATGAGGAGGCTTTGATAGAGGATAACATCGCAAAACAAAACGGATTTCAATTTACATTGTACTCTATGGATTTTGATTTTGGTTCTCAATAATTCTATGTTGTAAGAAATATATTGACTTGGCTTGTGTAATTTATCAAATAATGATTTCTATAACGCCAAAGATAAAAACATCAGGACCTATATATCTATGTACGGTCGTTCAAGTATCTCTCAGCCACGGCGGCGTGGATGGCGGCTCCGATGGGCAATGCTTCTTCGTCGATCATGAAATGCGGGGAATGTCCGATATGGACCGACCCGAGTTCTTCGTTCCTGATACCGATGAAGTAGAAAGCAGAGGGTACGACCTCCGAGTAGAAGGCGAAATCCTCTGCTCCCATCATCTGTGGAGCCTCTGTGAAGTAGCTTTCCCCGAGCAAATCCACCGTCGTTTTCTTCACGTGTTGGTACATCTCGTCGTCGTTTATCGTTGGCGGGTAAATCGAGCTCTGGTTCTCGAAAAAATTCACTGTGGCTTTGCATCCGAAGACTCCAACTTGTTCTACCGTCACCTGTCGGAACGACAGAATGAAAACGTTTTCATTGAATTCAATTCATTACATGTTATTTGGGTTTGCATATAGCGGTCGGCTATCCAAAATCTTGTTGGGTTTTGGACTGAACCGGTCTACCAGCTTAAACGAGAGAGAAAAACTAAACCAGACCGGTTTTTCGGGTTAAGAAGTTGTTTGGTTTTTGGATAGAACAGGTGGTGTCAATTATGACGGTGAAGTTTAGATGATAGGGAGACTAAAAATTGCTCTGTTTAGAATGAAAACCGAACCCGAACCGAATTAAACCGAAACCGAAGTTATACTGACCTCTTGAATACGCTTCATGAGGTGGTAGAAGCTTGCATTGGAGAAAGCTCTGAAAGTGCCGCTGAGAACCACTCTCTCCGGCGGTGCCTCGAGGCTATGGCCGCCGTCGAATGACGTCACCGACACAACCTACGAAGAACCAAAAATAAAATAAATAATTTTAGTTACTATATTATTCGTTCCATATTAATTTTTACATGTCTTCAGTTTTTATGAACCAGAGCATCGAGAGGACTGGCTTCGCGCGAAACGATGCCCTGCAAGCTGATGACGGCGGCGGAGGCGGCTACGATCAGATCGTCGGAGCCACCACCGCCATCGCCGTTCTCCGTCGTGATAACTGCCCGGAAAAACCCACATCCGGCGAGCAAAGGACCGCTCCTGGAGCCGATCACACCAGTCGGATGGTTGTGGGACACGTGTACGGCGAAGATTGCCTCCACGTCGTCGAGAGCTCCGTCTCCGATCATCTTCTTGGCGCCGTTCCCGGCTTCCTCCGCCGGCTGAAAGATCAGAACCACTGTTCCCTGTAATAATTAATTGTAACACTTCGAAATTATTCATTATTAATGGCAATTGTCACATTATCGAAAAACGATGAAACAACTTTATTAATTTTACTCTTTTTTCCGACATGGAAAGGGACAACGTTAATTACGCAACAAATTCAATAAATGCTTGTAGTACCCTAATTATTCTCATTACAAACCATAATGCTTAAGCCAAGAAAACCAAAGACCCACCAAGATAGAAAATTAAAAATCTTGTCTTGAAAAAGATGACATCTTTACATAACCCACCATAAATCAGCAATTAAGAAAAAAAAATAATCAAATCAAAGTTATCCACTTTTATATGCACACCCAAGTCTTGGTTTATCAAAACCTAATTACAATCCAATTTAAGAACATAAAAGATATTGGCCGCACCAAGAATGTGAGATCCATCCAAAGTTTTACAATTACCTTGAGAAGATGCCCTCGAGTTTTAAGTATATTGGCCGCACCAAGAAGCATAGCCACATGGGCGTCATGGCCACAAGCATGCATTTTGCCCTGCACTTTGCTTTTGTGCTCCCACTCAACCGCTTCCTGTATCCACACACGCTATACGACATTAAATGGAATTCGGGATAATGGACCACCACCTACCATATCTAGATACCCTTTTTTAGTTTTTGTTTTATGGTAACTAATGTGAGATCCATCCAAAGTTTTCTTATCGGGAAAGGTTAGACATATACATGTGTGTCTGTATTTGAGACGAATTCAATACATATGCATTGTTAAGGACGGATTTTTTGTAGCATAATTTGAATACCCGACAGTTCAAAACTGAGTATTTGTCTTGGTATTGATATTTTTCAATATATAATCTATAGTTATCATTGAGATATCTAATATTGTAGAGAATCCTATGTTGTGTAGATGCCAATAAAGGATGTATAACTTCCCCAAAAGGAAAGTGTTTCCAAAAATGGGTTGTGAAATATTCATGTTCATGTCACATGGGAAAAAAGAACAAAAGTCGCGGAATGAGAAACATTATCATCTGCATACTTGGATTTGTCTATCTTTTATAAAACTTCCGAAAATTCCAAATAAATACGTCAATTTGTTTTAAAAAAACGCTTAAACATGAATTTGTTAACTCCTAAAAAATATATCAATTTGCGAAATTCTCCCAAATTCCTACGCTCTCCTAATTCAGTAACAAATTCCGATCATAAATGCTGAGAGGCTTGCCGAAAAATTTATGTCTGTCATATAAATATCATGTCATAAAAAAATACCACGTCAGTACGTAAAAAATTAAAACGCAGTCTTGTACGTAATACATACATATATATATATATATATAATACAGTCTTGTACGTATACATATATATAAATATAATAGTCTTTATCTGAGCTTTCGAGAAACGTCGGTAAAACCTAATAACCTAATTCCAGACTTGAACAAAATCTCCAGAGAAGATGAATTGCATATTCAACAGAACATGATCGTAATATACACAAACACATACATGTCTATATGTGTACTATATAATTATATTCAGATTGAAAAAGGAATCTTTTTTGCTGGGATGTGAAAATTTTTTTTTCTGAAGAAATAGTAGAAGGGTTGGAAAAAATATTTACTTGGATGGGAAGTTTCCGGATCCGACCCAAGCCCGGATACCCGTTTTCGCCAGCGGGTATTTGTACGGAATACCTAACCGATCCAACTCGTACCGAACGAGCCGACTCGTCTCGTACTCCTCGAACGCGAGCTCCGGGTTCTCATGGATCCTCCTCCTCACGCGCTTCACCCACTCCACGTTCTCCGGCTTGAAAGCCAACTGGAGAACCTCCTCGGAGCAGACACGTGTCCAAACCCGACACGCCGACGACCCAACCGGACTCACCGGAGACGGAGAGCTCGCAGACCGGTTCCTCGATGATGTCGGCGGCGTCGACGACCGGAGGAAGAGATTCTCCGGTGGGTTTGTGTATTTGACTCCGGCGAGCAAGGGCAAGTCGGCAACGATGGTGTCGTCTCCAGCGGCGACGGTGAGGATTAGGGTTACGGAGACGATGATGATCGAAGGGTTAAGGTTGCAGGGATTGTCCATCATCATGGTTGAGAACTCGAGGGAGAGAGAGAGAGATTTGTGTGTACGTGTTACCATTTGGACATGTGGGGATTAAAAAAAGAGAGAGAATTGAATCACGTGGGTGAATTATTAATGGTCGATCAAAGCTTAGAAGGCGTCGAATAGCAGCGAATGAAGGGACCCACCTCCACCTTGTTCTTCAAATCTCCATTATCTCATGCATTAGTCTCTTTTGATCCCTCGCTTTATATTTTCTCCTTATAAACAGCGACTACGGATATTTCAATGTTATATAAATTAATTAGATGAAACAATTATAAATGTATATATGTTGTATTTTATTTTAGCAAAACTATATGATTATCAACACTTTTGTTAATGTCTCTTCATTATATTTCTTTTGTCATTATTGATCAACTTGATAAGGATATTGGAACCAAACGTATCCAAACATAATCCACAACCGCCTCCTTTCTCTTGGAAAAAAAAGAAATTTTATTGTTTTATTTTGAATTAAATAAAAGACAGAATAGATATATTCACTAAAAATATATATCATAAAATTTTAAAAATACATTTTAAAACTCAATTACCCAAGCATGCAAATAAATCTCAAATCTCCAAAACATGCAAAAAAGTCCTTAAATTTTGAAACGTTATCCAATTTAAACTCACTCGTCAATAGATCCAAATAAAACATAATAAAAATTAAAAAATATAATAATTATAGTAGAGCTATATATTGTTTAAATAAGTTATGATAATTTATTATTAGAAGATCTAAGGAATTGATATCTTAAATATTGCACAATCTTGTCTTTGATTTCACATTCAAATAAGCAAACATATTTATCATCATGAATTTGAAGAGCTTTATTGATATTTATGCAGAACAGTATTTATATATTGATTTGAAAGTTTTATAGATTTTTATATATTTTTGTGAAATATTTTCAGTTAATTAGTTGGATGAGAAGGCAGGTCGAAGAGTACCTCGTACTATTTCCCTATGTTGATTTTTTTTTTCACAACTTTATAATAAATAAATAAGGACAAAATTGGTGGACACGTCGATACTTTTCGTCATCAAATTGAAATGAGCTAATTAATTAGTGGTGTGAAAGTTTATCATCTCTCTCGTCAAACTCAGTCAATTATAAATTAATTTACAAACATCTCAAAATAAATTTGTTTATGATAATTATAAAAATAATTGTGAATAATATAAATTGTTAGTCTATCAAAACGTTAAGATTTGTATTTGTATTTTGTTTTTAGTATTGAAGTTATATTTTGAAATTAAATTTATTTTTATCTTCTGATTAATCAAATAATAAAACATTAAAATCAACTATTTTAAATGTATCATGTTTTCCCAAAAAAATTGACTTTTTATAAACTCAAATTGTCATATTTTAATTATTTTAAATCTGTAAACTTAAAAGTTCCATTGATGCAGTTCTTCAAATATTGTAAATTAATTCTTTCAATCCATAAACACTTAAATTCTCCAAATTTATTTAATCAGAAATAGAAATTAATATATTATAATTTAATAATTATGAATATTTATTCATAAACAATAGTTAAGAGTTAGGATGGTAAGAAACATTCGGCATTCAATTTTCAAAACTACCTAGAATCTATGACCTACGAGAATGCCCTAATCTTTAAGGCAAAGAATTGTCCAGATAAAATCCTAAACCCTTTTGTTTGTTTAAATTAAAAAATATATATAAATTTAATATTTGTTTTTTATGTAAATTAGAATTAAAGTGAAATTAAATATATTTTCAAACTAATTCAATCTAAACAGTTGTTTAAATAATATTTTTTAGCAATCAATTAATTAAATTTGAAGTGAATATATAAAATAATCCAATATAAAAGGTATGTTTAAAAAATATTCCAAAGCTCAAACTTATGTAAAATCTGAATTGAGAATTTTTTTTATAAAACAAAATATCTAGATTAAAAATAAGCGAAACAAAAAATAATAAAACCTAACATATCTATCATAGGTGAGATTGTAATAAATTACTATGGAGCATAATATATTTCTATGTGAGCTTAGTGAGCAAAATCTAACTATTTTTCTAATTATCACCAACTAATTTATAAATTTAATGAAAGGATAAGAAAAATATACCAAACTCTAATTAACAGAGAAAATTAAATTAATAAAAAATGATGAAAAGGCAAATAAATATAGGGTGGAGGAAAGTGATTCATGAAGGCGATAGAAAATGACTCGTGAACAAATAAAAAAAATTGTTTATTTTTTCAAAATTTAACAAAGAAGAGCATTTTTTTTATTCACAACTTGTAAAGGAATTTTCTAAAATAATAAAATATTTTAGAAATAAATAAAAATGGAAAAGACTGCAATAACCTTTTTTATGAGTTGATATGCATTCTTTTGTAACTGTACCACCAAACACAAGATACCGGGGAAAAAAGAAAAAGGTAAAAAATTAAAATATAAAATAGTACAAAATCTTATTTTCGTTGTAAATGAATCGTTTAAATATTTAAAAGTATTACTGTCATTAAGTGACAGTTGTTCACCGGACTCATGGCTAGGGTGTAAAACAAGTCCTATTAAAACGGGTCACACGAGCCAACTCATCACGAGTCAGACTCGTAGCGAGTTAGTTTGGTGAGCTCACGCGCTGATTCAACAACTGAAAAAAAAAATTTATATATATTTTTTCATTTTTATTATTTTTTATATATTTTTAAATATTTTATATAAAAATATATTTTTATTAGATATTTTGTTTAAAATTTTAATTTTTTTGTTATATTTATAATATTTTTAAATATTTATAATATTTTAATATTTAAATTTTATTTTTTAAAGTTAAAAATTTGGTTCGTAAACCAGTTCGTTTGGCTCGCGAGTTAAGACGATTTGGGTTGGACTAATCAATTTTTAACTCGTTAAAAAAACGGATCGGATTTGACTGAACTAAAATATTTCCCGATCGGAACGGATTGTGTTGGGCCAGATCGGACCAATCCGTTTTTACACCCTTACTCATGATGATGACCACTTAATAATGACTATGCTAAAATGTATTCTAGTATATGAATTTCGGGTGAAGGTGTTAGACCAACGAGATTTATCTAATTAAATAAACAAGAATGTTAATAATTACGGTAAGCATAATCATTAGGACGGTTTGAAAAATCAATAAAACAAAACGTGCAATATTATTATTGCTTTGCATAATATCATATGTACAATTGAGAATTAAGATTCCACCACCATTGGACCCACCACCGTCTCGTCCGCATCAAATCCAACCACTGATCCAACACGTGCAAATTGCATCATACTATATACCTATATATATATATATATATATAGTAGCGGACCTAGGATATATTGTCAATAGGGGCAAACATAATTTTATTGAATGATAAAAATAATTTATCATGGGGTACCTAATAATTTTAATTAAAATCTTATAAATTTTACAAAGAAATTCTTATTTTTAATCAACCAAATGGGGCATGTACCCCACTCCTTTCAACATAGATCCGCCACTGCCACTGTGTATATATATATATTCTCGTGACTGTGTGTATGTATACGCGCTCGCTGATAATCCAACTTCCAAGTATCCAGCACCAGTAATGAGGGGTCCAACGTCTTTTATATTTTTTTTTGTTTTTTTTTTCGGTATCCGAACCAAAATCTAAATTAATCTCGAATTCAGGATCATTCATGTGATTTTAAATATATAAATCCTCTCTAAAGTTGAGATTCGACTTCGAGACTAAATTTGAATTCTTTTATAATTTTATTAAGGTGACGAAAACAATAACAAGCAAATGTTCCTTTTAGTAAGGAAAAAAACTTGTTTATTACGGTATCTTGTGGAATATAAATTATTTAATGTTATATCTATGATTAAATTAAAATAATTTGCACATATATTTGATTTTTGGTTTGGGAAAACACATATATATGTTATAAATTCTATGCACATAATCAATTTGAGTCTCGTGATGATCGTTGGTAAATAGGGTCTCTTAATGATGTATAGATACGTGTAGATTAATAAAAGAAATCTAAAATTAAGATTTAATACATGAAAATTTTAGTAATAAGATTTGAATTAATAAAATTTAATTTATATGAAATAAAATGTTTTTATAATTTTTAAAAATATCAATATAATTTCTTTATTCGAAGAAAATTATGGATAATTTTTTAATTATTAATGTATAAAAAAAATTTATTTTTGTTAGACAAGATTATAAAATTATAAAATTAAAATTAAAATTCGATTTACTAATGTGACTTAAATCATTTTAATTCAAAAAACCTTTTTGTTTTTGTGTAATAGAGACTTTCACATATAGTTAAAAATTGAAAAAAAAATTAAAAATACCGAATAAATAAATTTTTAATTTGATAATATAATACCTAAATATTGAAAGATGCCAAATTAATATCTCAACTTCTGGAATTAAATGCAATTCTCAACCAAAACCCTATCTGAGTTTGTTCAAAAATGGCTAAATCGATTTTGTTTTAGATTGGAAATTACTCTCATTTTCAGGAATTTAGATATTAATTTGAGAAATTTTAACATTGTTATATTATATTGTCACCGGTTCCATATCGAATGTAGTGTGCAATTGCTTGAGTCTTGAGACAAACCATGTTTCAGCTACTTTTTGAAACCTGAATTCTATTACATGTTTTGCACTCTTAACCTAGTTTCCACTGTCTTTTCATCATTTGCATCTATAACGAATCAAACTTGATGAACTTCTTTAACTTGTATTTTTTTTTTCTTCACATTTTCTCTCTATTCATTTATATATGATCTAAAGTGATTGTATTTCCAAACCCGTTTTCTTCTTCTCTTTATCAGTGCTTTAACAAAGTATAAAGAGATCACAAAAAATCCAAGTAGTCAAGCTATATATGCCTTAATAATGATCCGTAAAAATCGTTCATTAGAATCATTACTAACAATCTGTCTTCCACTAAATTCATACAAAAAATCCAAAAATATCTTACGAGTTTTCATATGGATGGAGAGATACAAAGCAAGCTTCTTTTTGACTTCTACACTTTCATGGGTGAATTATGTATACAATTTCCTTCAGATTGCAAGTGGATAAAGAATCTTACCTATGGAAAAGTGACAACCAATTTGATGATGTTCTTGAAGAACCAACTTACCAAACTGTGTAATAACCAATGGAATGGTTTTGAGTGAAGGAAGAGTTGCTGGCGATCCTCTGCTTGTTAGGCGATCGCCGATTTTATTGTCTCGGCCTCTTTGGGGCGCCAAAACGTCTTCTGAACCGAAAGCAGACCCTCGTTGTCTTTTGAGTACGTCATTCTTACTTCCCATTTCATCGATTTCGCCATCCTTTCGACTTCCCCTACTGTTTCAACATCATCTCTAACGATGAACGTTCCCTGTGGCCGGAGAATCCTATCGACTTCAGCCATAACCGATATCAAATTGCACCTGCCATGCGAGAAAAGGGTCAAGACATGGCATGAGATCAGAGAACGGATATTAAGGATCGAGAGAACCAGTTTGAAATCTTGAATATAAATGAGACGTGTAGTTTACATGTATACCTCTTCTTCAGGGCAGAGAAAAGATGATCGGCGTGAAGAAGGTCGTAAGTTCGGGGGTAAGTGTTGAATGACTCACACCAGTCGTGATACATTCCGAACAAACCACGTTCATATATTATCGGAAGTGTATCTGCTGAGTCAATGGGGACAACATTCATCACCCACAATTTCAGATCCTTCAGCGCAGCAGCAAATCTGGTAAGAGAGACATACTTTTAAATCGAAAAGGAAGAGACGCTCATGGAAAAATGGAAGGTGAGAAATAATGGAAAAGCTTACCCTCCATAGACAGCTCTCATGTCCATGACATTTCTCACGGAAGACCAATCAATTCCCATACCGTTGAGGTATGATTTTGAAACAATCGTCTTCCAGCGTTCGTAATCAGTGTTGAAATCCTCTTCTGCAGGTTTCCCGTAAACGCCTTCCTGAGAGCTCAACCACTCTGGAGCAGTCTCCAACCTTTGTGGCCACTGCTTAGGCCACACAGCTCCACGCTTCGATGAATCTTCTGGTACCTTGTGCATGCATGCCTCAAGTAGAACGTTCCTGAATAATACACGCGTGTTTAGATATTCTTGGTCAAACTGTGGCGGAAATGTAAGTTACTACTATTCTATTTATGTCACAATACGGAATACCAGAAAGAAATGAAAGATGTAAACAATACCAGGCTGCATTTGGATCATCGGACTCTTTGCAGAGCGGTGGCTTGTTTTGAGTTCTTTTATTGTAGCACCGATTTGATGTTGGCTTCTGGAATACGGCAGCACCGACCTCATTCAGTTTGTCTTTCTTGATGGTCACTAGCTTCCAGCACATCGCTTTTGTCAGCTCTGACATTGCTACAAGACGAAAGAGGCAACTCAGGAGTTAGCATCAATTTGCCGAAAGCTTATTCATATGATGATCAAATACGCGAGAAGAATTTAAACCTTTCCATATCCCAGAATCTTCTTCATTCTTCCGGTAAACTGGAGTAGCCGACCATACAAAGTAACCACCAGGCCTCAACAATCGGTTCAGTTCCAGAAGAAGTTTACCACCTTCAGTTGAGACCAAAAGAAAAGTTATTTCATACAAGCAAGGAGGAAAATATTAATGATAAATAAACATTACAAACCGAATAAATAAATTTTTAATTTGATAATATAATACCTAAATATTGAAAGATGCCAAATTAATATCTCAACTTCTGGAATTAAATGCAATTCTCAACCAAAACCCTATCTGAGTTTGTTCAAAAATGGCTAAATCGATTTTGTTTTAGATTGGAAATTACTCTCATTTTCAGGAATTTAGATATTAATTTGAGAAATTTTAACATTGTTATATTATATTGTCACCGGTTCCATATCGAATGTAGTGTGCAATTGCTTGAGTCTTGAGACAAACCATGTTTCAGCTACTTTTTGAAACCTGAATTCTATTACATGTTTTGCACTCTTAACCTAGTTTCCACTGTCTTTTCATCATTTGCATCTATAACGAATCAAACTTGATGAACTTCTTTAACTTGTATTTTTTTTTTCTTCACATTTTCTCTCTATTCATTTATATATGATCTAAAGTGATTGTATTTCCAAACCCGTTTTCTTCTTCTCTTTATCAGTGCTTTAACAAAGTATAAAGAGATCACAAAAAATCCAAGTAGTCAAGCTATATATGCCTTAATAATGATCCGTAAAAATCGTTCATTAGAATCATTACTAACAATCTGTCTTCCACTAAATTCATACAAAAAATCCAAAAATATCTTACGAGTTTTCATATGGATGGAGAGATACAAAGCAAGCTTCTTTTTGACTTCTACACTTTCATGGGTGAATTATGTATACAATTTCCTTCAGATTGCAAGTGGATAAAGAATCTTACCTATGGAAAAGTGACAACCAATTTGATGATGTTCTTGAAGAACCAACTTACCAAACTGTGTAATAACCAATGGAATGGTTTTGAGTGAAGGAAGAGTTGCTGGCGATCCTCTGCTTGTTAGGCGATCGCCGATTTTATTGTCTCGGCCTCTTTGGGGCGCCAAAACGTCTTCTGAACCGAAAGCAGACCCTCGTTGTCTTTTGAGTACGTCATTCTTACTTCCCATTTCATCGATTTCGCCATCCTTTCGACTTCCCCTACTGTTTCAACATCATCTCTAACGATGAACGTTCCCTGTGGCCGGAGAATCCTATCGACTTCAGCCATAACCGATATCAAATTGCACCTGCCATGCGAGAAAAGGGTCAAGACATGGCATGAGATCAGAGAACGGATATTAAGGATCGAGAGAACCAGTTTGAAATCTTGAATATAAATGAGACGTGTAGTTTACATGTATACCTCTTCTTCAGGGCAGAGAAAAGATGATCGGCGTGAAGAAGGTCGTAAGTTCGGGGGTAAGTGTTGAATGACTCACACCAGTCGTGATACATTCCGAACAAACCACGTTCATATATTATCGGAAGTGTATCTGCTGAGTCAATGGGGACAACATTCATCACCCACAATTTCAGATCCTTCAGCGCAGCAGCAAATCTGGTAAGAGAGACATACTTTTAAATCGAAAAGGAAGAGACGCTCATGGAAAAATGGAAGGTGAGAAATAATGGAAAAGCTTACCCTCCATAGACAGCTCTCATGTCCATGACATTTCTCACGGAAGACCAATCAATTCCCATACCGTTGAGGTATGATTTTGAAACAATCGTCTTCCAGCGTTCGTAATCAGTGTTGAAATCCTCTTCTGCAGGTTTCCCGTAAACGCCTTCCTGAGAGCTCAACCACTCTGGAGCAGTCTCCAACCTTTGTGGCCACTGCTTAGGCCACACAGCTCCACGCTTCGATGAATCTTCTGGTACCTTGTGCATGCATGCCTCAAGTAGAACGTTCCTGAATAATACACGCGTGTTTAGATATTCTTGGTCAAACTGTGGCGGAAATGTAAGTTACTACTATTCTATTTATGTCACAATACGGAATACCAGAAAGAAATGAAAGATGTAAACAATACCAGGCTGCATTTGGATCATCGGACTCTTTGCAGAGCGGTGGCTTGTTTTGAGTTCTTTTATTGTAGCACCGATTTGATGTTGGCTTCTGGAATACGGCAGCACCGACCTCATTCAGTTTGTCTTTCTTGATGGTCACTAGCTTCCAGCACATCGCTTTTGTCAGCTCTGACATTGCTACAAGACGAAAGAGGCAACTCAGGAGTTAGCATCAATTTGCCGAAAGCTTATTCATATGATGATCAAATACGCGAGAAGAATTTAAACCTTTCCATATCCCAGAATCTTCTTCATTCTTCCGGTAAACTGGAGTAGCCGACCATACAAAGTAACCACCAGGCCTCAACAATCGGTTCAGTTCCAGAAGAAGTTTACCACCTTCAGTTGAGACCAAAAGAAAAGTTATTTCATACAAGCAAGGAGGAAAATATTAATGATAAATAAACATTACAAACCGAATAAATAAATTTTTAATTTGATAATATAATACCTAAATATTGAAAGATGCCAAATTAATATCTCAACTTCTGGAATTAAATGCAATTCTCAACCAAAACCCTATCTGAGTTTGTTCAAAAATGGCTAAATCGATTTTGTTTTAGATTGGAAATTACTCTCATTTTCAGGAATTTAGATATTAATTTGAGAAATTTTAACATTGTTATATTATATTGTCACCGGTTCCATATCGAATGTAGTGTGCAATTGCTTGAGTCTTGAGACAAACCATGTTTCAGCTACTTTTTGAAACCTGAATTCTATTACATGTTTTGCACTCTTAACCTAGTTTCCACTGTCTTTTCATCATTTGCATCTATAACGAATCAAACTTGATGAACTTCTTTAACTTGTATTTTTTTTTTCTTCACATTTTCTCTCTATTCATTTATATATGATCTAAAGTGATTGTATTTCCAAACCCGTTTTCTTCTTCTCTTTATCAGTGCTTTAACAAAGTATAAAGAGATCACAAAAAATCCAAGTAGTCAAGCTATATATGCCTTAATAATGATCCGTAAAAATCGTTCATTAGAATCATTACTAACAATCTGTCTTCCACTAAATTCATACAAAAAATCCAAAAATATCTTACGAGTTTTCATATGGATGGAGAGATACAAAGCAAGCTTCTTTTTGACTTCTACACTTTCATGGGTGAATTATGTATACAATTTCCTTCAGATTGCAAGTGGATAAAGAATCTTACCTATGGAAAAGTGACAACCAATTTGATGATGTTCTTGAAGAACCAACTTACCAAACTGTGTAATAACCAATGGAATGGTTTTGAGTGAAGGAAGAGTTGCTGGCGATCCTCTGCTTGTTAGGCGATCGCCGATTTTATTGTCTCGGCCTCTTTGGGGCGCCAAAACGTCTTCTGAACCGAAAGCAGACCCTCGTTGTCTTTTGAGTACGTCATTCTTACTTCCCATTTCATCGATTTCGCCATCCTTTCGACTTCCCCTACTGTTTCAACATCATCTCTAACGATGAACGTTCCCTGTGGCCGGAGAATCCTATCGACTTCAGCCATAACCGATATCAAATTGCACCTGCCATGCGAGAAAAGGGTCAAGACATGGCATGAGATCAGAGAACGGATATTAAGGATCGAGAGAACCAGTTTGAAATCTTGAATATAAATGAGACGTGTAGTTTACATGTATACCTCTTCTTCAGGGCAGAGAAAAGATGATCGGCGTGAAGAAGGTCGTAAGTTCGGGGGTAAGTGTTGAATGACTCACACCAGTCGTGATACATTCCGAACAAACCACGTTCATATATTATCGGAAGTGTATCTGCTGAGTCAATGGGGACAACATTCATCACCCACAATTTCAGATCCTTCAGCGCAGCAGCAAATCTGGTAAGAGAGACATGAGAGAAAAAAAACTTGTTCGTTAAAAAAAAAAAGATCATGGCATCTTTATACAACCAAATTCCTTCCGTATCTGCGATCTTCTCTCTCTACACATCCTTCTCAGCGATCATGATGATCCTCCGGACGATCTTGAACGAGATTGTCCCGAACCCGATCCGGGAATACATTGCCGCAAAACTCTCGGAGGTATTCGCGTCGTATTTCCAGTCGTATTTCACGTTCGTGATCGAGCAGAGATGGGAGTTCTTCGAGAACCAGACGTTCCGTGCGGCGGAAGTTTATTTGCCGACCCGACTCGCCGGACTTTCCACCGGAAAACTGCTGGTGGGTTCGAGCAACCTCAACAATCTGGCCGCTTCTCCGATGCTCGGTATCCCCGTCGACACCAAGATCCTCGACGAGTTTGACGGGATTCCACTCGAGTGGACTCTTCATTCCGTCGAGACCAGGAAAAACCTCCCTGAGAAAAGGTACGTTCTTTATCCCCCTAACTTGTTTGGCTGGGCGGAAAGTGTGAGAAAGTGACGAGAAAATGAAGGTTTGTGAAAGAAAAGACGCTTTCTTGACCCCTCTATCTTGTTTGGTTGGATGGAAAGTGCGAGAAAATGACGACAAAACGTGATTATGTTTTAAAGTTCGAATCATTGAAGAACCTGAGGAAAGAGATCTTTTTTTGTGTCAGGTATTTCCATCTAACGTGCAAGAAAGAGTTTCGAGAGAAGATCGAGAGAGAATACTTCCCTTATTTTGCGAAACAAGCAAAGGAAATCATGAGCGGACGCGAGAAACTAAAGATCTACACTTACAGTCAAGAGCGTTCCACATGGGAAGCCGCCATTTTCGAGCACCACACGACCTTCGAGACTCTGGCCATTGAACCCGACCTCAAGACCGCCTTGCTGGAAGATCTCGATGCATTTTCTCGTGGAGAAGACTTCTTCAAGAGTGTAGGTCGTTCATGGAAGCGCGGTTATCTCCTCTATGGACCTCCCGGTACAGGAAAATCTTCCCTCGTGGCCGCCATTGCTAATCATATGAAGTATCATATCTATGATCTTCAGATTCAGAGCGTTCGGGACGATGCCGAGCTCAGAGAGATCCTCACATTGACCAAGAACCGGTCTATTTTGCTCATCGAGGACATTGATTGCAGCACCCACATTTCACGCAAGCGCGAAAGCATGAGCTTCGATGAGGAAGACGGCGAAAATTGGTGGAGGACGCACAATAAGAAGCATTTCGACATTGGGGTAAGCACCGGTTTACGTGCTGTCTGGTTCTGGAAACCGGAAACAAGGACTAAACCTCGGTTTCCTATGTTGTCTGACCATATGTGAATCTTGACAGGTTTCTCTGTCCGGACTGTTGAATTTCGTAGACGGGCTATGGTCGAGCTGCGGAGAAGAACGCATCATAATCTTTACGACGAACCACAAGGAGAAGCTTGACCCGGCATTGCTACGTCCAGGAAGAATGGACGTCCACATACTGATGAGCTATTGCACGCCCTTCGTGTTCAAGAAACTCGCGACTTTATACCTGAAAATAGATGGCCACGACCTCTTCGAACCCATCGGGAAGCTACTCGAGGAGGTGAATACGACTCCGGCCGAGGTCACACAACAGCTCATGGCAAGTAAGGAACCCGAGCTCGTGCTCAGAGGCCTTGTCGAGTTTCTTGCAGCAAAAAAGACGGAGAAAGAAGATGACAACAGAGAAGTAGAGATTGAAGAATATGATGAGAACAAAGAAGCTTTAGGAGGAGCAATTGCATTAGTACGTGAAGATTTGTGATCATTCTAAATAAGACCTGCTTTGTCTCTCTTTGCTCAATTTGATATGAATGAATGACCATTAGACCAAGATTAAAGAGAGAAAAACGTGACCCTTTAACGAGTTCGGACAGATCTCGCTCAAGATGATCATACACTGTTTAAAGTAAAAGGACAACACAAAATGATCATAAACCTGTCAGGAACCTGTTATAACCATAACACTTCCAAGTTAGTGTTGAGATTTACATCCAAGAAGAAGAAAGAAGCGTGTTTGTGTATAAAAGAAGAGGCCTAAGAAGAGCAGCAGTAGCCACTTGAAGAGCCACTGGTCTGTGCAGGGTTTTGTTTGAAAATGTTTTTCTTCACTCCCGACGATCCTTCTGCCAAAAGACTCGGCGTTTCCAGTATCTGCAGAATTTTCCAGCGATTAGAACAACCGGGTTTCGTGTCAAGAGCCCTTGAGGGAAAAAAAAGTTTCATAGTATGCTATGATCCGGTAAAAAAAAAACCCGGTTTTGGAATGAGGGTTTTGCCATTCATCAAGCTTCTGAATAAGCAAAGCCAGAGACTTTCAGCAAACCAAAGCCATATCAATTCCATGGTTTAGACTTTAGGTTTAGATCGTAAACACAAAATTTTCGAGTCGTAATAGATACCCTCATGCTAAAGATATGAAATTTAAATCTTGGCAATTGAAACCTTTTGAAGTTCGATCGTCTGTTTCTTTTTTACGGGAAGATGTTGAATTCAGATGCGCAAACCAAGAATGCAAATCCGAGCTCAATCTCGATGATTTTCGATGATAATTTAAGTACCAAGCAAATGGGGTTGCTGAACTTTTGAGAAGTAAAGAAGGAAAAGCTTGTGGGATTTGATGTACCTTAAGAACAAGCTCCTCGAAGCATTGCTCCACATTGACCCTTGTCTTTGCACTGCACTCTAGAAAGAGACATCCATATTCCCGAGCAAAGTCTATTCCCTCTTTTTTGGAGACAACCCTTTCACTCTCCTAGAAACAAGATCATTCCAGCATCATTGAAATGAAGAACATAATAACGGAAGTCTGATTCTATGGTCATCAGAGTTTGTGGATTATGGGAACTTGGAGTACATTAACATAAGGTGAATAATAATACCTTATCAACCTTGTTCCCAACAAGCATCTTGATGCAATCCTGATTGGTTGAGTAGAGGTCGATTTCCTTAGCCCATATATCCGACAGATTCGTGAATGTTTCTCGCCTGGTAACATCATACACTACGAATTCGCAAAAACGCCACAAAGTTACTTACATATGTGTAAACAGGAGAGCCTCTACAAAAGCTAAGCCGGTATGAAAGGATAAAATACATGAACGAAAGCTTCCAAAGAAGCAAGTTGAAGCAGCATACCCATGATTATACCCTGAGCTCCTCTGTAGTAGGAACTTGTTAGTGTCCTAAATCTCTCTTGCCCAGCTGAGTGATGAGAAACAGACATAATTCAATAAAATCCGACATGTTCATATAACAGAACACAGTGATCAGAACATCTTCCAGTATTCTGACATGATACTTGTCAATTCACGTGAACAACAAAGACAACCAGATTCGATCTCTTACCTGTGTCCCAAATTGCAAGCTTCAATTTCTTACCCTCAACAGTAAGATACTTCACCTTGAAATCCACACCTAAAGAAAGAGAAAGAGAATCAAAATCAAATCAAATGCGATGAATCACAGCCCTAATCATCAAAAACCTCCAATAATCAAACGTACCAATGGTGGGAGAAAGGTCATCAAAAGTATTGGACGTGAAACTCAATAGCAGAGAGCTCTTCCCAACACCGGAGTCCCCAATCAACAGAATCTTAAACAAGTAATCGAATTCGGGCACACCCGACGAAGAACCCATTGATTCGCGCCAACCTTTTTCCGCGAAAGCCCAAAAAATCCAGGAGAAAAAGGTAAAAAAAAAAAATCTCAAATTTGCATAAGCCCAGATAAAAAAAACCACAAAACTTGTAGAAAAAATCAAGACAAATGCTCAAAGATCCTCGAAATATAAATTCCAAAGTCTACCAGAGAAAATCTAGGAGAAGCTTACGTCTATGGAGATCTACGAAGAGAGTAAACCCAAAACAGTAAAGAACAGAGAAGAAGAAAATGGAGATCCGAAGAAAGCTCGAAAGAGTTGTTCGTATTTACAAGGGAACGGTGCCTCTACATTTCACCGGCTTCCCGGATCAATCGACCACAGACAGAGGAATAATCAGCCACGGTCGGATGTACAGAATTCATGTCCTTGATGGACTGTTTCTGACCGTTGGATCTTCGTAAGTTCATAACTTTGATTAAAACGAACCGGAAGTTGGCTTAACCGGAACATTCTTCTCGAAAGAGAGGGTTGCTATGCCTCTCTTTGGTGGAGAAGGTCCTATATTGATCGACCACACAATTGCAGGTGCATTGCATAGTATGTACACGTTCAAGGTTTGCACGCATATAAAATACTAAACTAGGTCTTATTATTGAGCAAACATAGTATATATATTATTCACATCAGTATATCATTTCTAAGAGTCTAAATTACTTTATCATTTTCCAAATCTTGGTATATAATATCCGGTAGAATGTGGGCATGAATTCTTTTTTTGCATCAATCAAATGTGATCTATTTAACTTTAAACAAGGTTTGAAAGTTTTTTTTTTGGGGGGGACTTGGCTGTTGAAAATTTAATGTACAAATGATTAAGCTGTATGTTAAATAATGAATAAATTTTTTTAATATGTGATCATATGAATAATTTTTGTTTTCTGAGATGCATTTTTATTTTAATCATTCCTCTGATTTACAATTTTCAAAAACCAAATTGTCAGATTTAATAATCACCCTTTAAAAGTTTGTATTTTTGGGAATTCACCTATTATTTAATTTATCATAGATTATAAAAATTAATAATCAGCAAACAGTAACTTGATACTTTCGCCAAAAAAGGGGAGAACTAAAAGAAATCTTTTCTTTTTAACAAATTGATTTTAATATATAATTTTAAAAAAATATTCTTTCTATTATTTTTTTAGTCCTGCCAACTTTGCAATAGTACAATTTCATCCTATATAATAATCAATCTTGCAGTTATACGTAATCACAAAAGAAAATGAGATGAGAATATTGAATAAACTCATAGAGGTCTCCACTGATCATCATATAACCCTAAAATTTATTGTCTCAATCCATATCTCTAGAAAAATAATTATATCAATTAACATGATTATAAATGAAAGGGCCGGGAAAAACCCATATAAAATCATGAAATTATGAAAATATATGAGATAAATATATAAACTCTGAAATATTTACTCTCGTTTTGAAATTCAAAATGAAAATTATATTTGAAAAATATTAAAAACTATTTTACAAAGTACCTTAAATCGGGACAGTTTATGGCCACACAAATTGGGTGAGGTGTCAAAAAAATAATTATTAATATTTCTATTTATAATGTAAAAAGATAAATATGAGGGATATAAAACGATAATAAATCTCAAAAACTAGAAAAACCATCTATAACATTAAAAAGAAAATTATTTACCTGTTATATTTCATGAACTAAATAGAAATTTTAGGGTTGTGGGTAATAACAGCGCCAAGTGTCCACCTATACGTTTATATTTTTTTTAAAGATATATATCTTCGGTTATATATATCTAAAACATTATCTAATATATCCAAAATCTATCTTGAGTCAAAATTAAGAGAATATTTCTACCATAAAAGTACATACAATAAATGATTTCTCCTTTTTTTTAGTTATTTTCACATTTCCTTAAAAATTGAGAATTATCTGAAAAGTGTTCATGTAATAAATCATTCCTATTAAGTTCTTGTTAGTCTTTGCAATCTTTTTTAGTTATTTTTTTTTTTCACATTTCCTTATAAACTAGTACTTATCTGTGAATGGGTAATTCAGTATATAAATCCATCATCAGCATACATCATAGATCGTGAGTTCATAAGATTTTCTAAAAATCCAAAACAAAAACCAAAAAAACAAATACCATATTTTCAACATGAAGCAAATTGAGACTCAAGTGCTCATTGTCGGCGCCGGACCAGCGGGATTGGCCGTCGCCGCCTGTCTTAACAAAGCCGGAATCAGAAACCTTCTTCTCGAAAGAGAGGATTGCTATGCCTCTCTTTGGAGGAGAAGATCGTATGACCGGCTAAAGCTTCACCTCGCGAAACAATTTTGTGAGCTTCCTCACATGTCATACCCTAAAGACACACCCACATTCATGCCCAAATCCGATTTCGTTCGCTACCTCGAACGTTACGTTTCTCATTTTGGGATCAAACCCTTGTGCGAAAGGAACGTTGAGTCTGCAGAGTTCAATCCCCGTGCCCAGAGGGATCCCCGTGCCCGGAGGTGGCTCATGCGGGTGATGAACCGAGCCTCGGGTGAGCACGAGATCTACACGGGAAGGTTTCTTGTGGTTGCCACCGGGGAAAACGCCGACGGATTCATCCCAAAGGTGGATGGTTTAGATGGGTTCAAAGGGAAGTGCATTCACTCATCTATGTACAAGAATGGCAAAGAGTTCAACGGTGAAAATGTCCTTGTCGTCGGTGTTGGCAATTCCGGCCTCGAAATCGCTTACGATCTCTCCAACTATGGTGCAAAAACTTCCATCGTTTGTCGTGGCAAGGTAGCGATACCGCACCATCTTGACGTCGTATTTTCCCACGGTCTTGGAACGTTTTTATGCAAATGTAATGTCCATTTGTGTTTCAAAATTAATATTCGGGATGATGATACATTTATATATACAATTGCAGGTGCATATAGTGAACAAGTATATCGTGTTCTTGGGGATGATGCTGTTGAGCTTTTTGCCATTGAATATGGTCGATATAATAGTTTTGTGGCTATGCAATTTCTGGTTCGGAGACACTTCCCGGTACGGTATGCCACGGCCGACCGCCGGACCGTTTCATCTCAAAGTGACAAAGGGAAGATCCCCAACCATTGATGTCGGGGCCATGCCCAAGATTCATACCGGACACATCAAGGTATAAATATATGTTCTTAAAAATCAGGCGATACAGCATACGGACGTTATACACACACATACATACATATATTCTCATTTTATATTGTTCCATAATATATACGAAGATTGAATAACATAATTTAAACGTGTATGATAAAATACAGGTCTTCCCGGCGATCTCGAGCATTAGAAACGACGATGTCGTGTTCACAGATGGAAGGGTTTGTCGTTTCGATGCTCTCATATTTGCCACGGGCTATAGAAGAACATTTAAAGATTGGCTAAAGGTATTTTTTTTTTAACTTTACGATTTTTTATATATTAATTATTTCATTTTTATCTTATCTTTTTTTTTTAATGAATTCAGGGCTCAGAAGACTTGTTTCCGACTCAGTTTAAAGAGAATGGAATTTACTTTGCTGGATTCGGGAGGAATGGATTGTTCGGAATCTCAAAGGATGCAAAAAATATTGCAGCTGATATTTCGGTCTTAATTAAAAATTAGATATACCAAAGATGTAGAAAAAAATAATGTCAACCTCCATTAATAGGAGCTTTCCTAAGTAAAAAAAAAAAAAATTGAAAGCTCTGTGTATGAATCTTTATATTGAAAGTATAATTCCAAGGACTTTAATGCTTTCTATAAATTGCATTATTAAATTACTAAATAATCCAGTCATATTCTAAATGAGATGGATGAGTACTCAAAATCATTAAATTCAAAGGCTTATAGTCTATCACATAGTGAATTTCCGGACAAAACGTTTTTAATCCAACAATTATATATTTTAGTTACTGTATTAATTTACATAAACCATGCATATCCGAAGTTGAATTTACTAGTATTCAAAAATTACAATAATTGAAGTTAGGGGTGGCCATTTCGGTTATTAACCGAATAACCGAACCGAACCGAACCGAATAAGACATAACCATACCCGAATCGAATCCGACATCAAAACCGAACGGTTATGATTTCCTTAAACCCGAAAAACCGAAACCGAAACCGAACCGAACCGAATAAAAAATAACCGAAAAAACCGAGAGAATAACCGACAATTTCTTTGAAATATTGAACTTTTTTACCAAAACCGAACCAAACCCGAACCGAAAAATAACCGAACCGAACTGAACCGAAATTTATATAAAAACCGAATGGTTATAGTTTTTCTATAACCGAAATAACCGAACCCGAATATAACCGAACCGAACCCGAACCGAAACCCGAATTGGCCACCCCTAATTGAAGTTAATGGTGGATATAGAAAATATTTTTACTTGGATATAAATACAATAAATATGAAAAAAGTGAAAAACAATAAATCCCAAAAACCATAAAGACTGTGTGTAATTTTAGCAGGGGAAAAAATTACATATTTTCATCATGGACTAACAAAAACCCAAATATGAAGATACTTATCTTTTTTCTAAAAGGCAATTACCTTCATGATTTTATGTAAAATATTATCTAATGTCCATGAATCTATCATGAGATAATCTAGGAAGAAATGCACGTGTGTTTCTGGTGCTAAAGAACACATGGGACACTTTACATCAGTTTGGAGAGATCCCGTTTGCTGAGTCTGTCTTTAGTCCGAAGGCGATTGTGCAATGTTTGCCACTATATAAACAAAAACTGAATGGGGTATATAGAAATGAAACCAGACTACTACATCCTAGGATATTCGAGCCTTTGAGCTTCTGATTTGGCTCCCGGTTTGTTATGTTGAGAATGTGGTTTGAATTTGTCCATGTCATGTCATTACATTACTATGTCTGGGCCTTTGCTATCCCTTGGTAAATCCAGCTACGTTAAAGCTGTTGGGTTTGTTATGAATTTTCGAGCGTACAGTTTTATCAAACGTGCTAGTGATGGTTCTTAGATTTCACGTAGCTGAAGAAAATACAAATCATAATTGAAACCACGAGAACAAAGCCCGATGACCCTACGTGTCACCGGTGAATCGAATATTTACCTTGAATCCGAAGAAACTTCAAATATATTGATCTGAGGCCTATATCAAATCACTTAGAGTTGAAATCACAACTCTTCTACATATATCCATCTCTGTAAACAACGTTTCCAAACTTAAAAGACTTCCAAAATTCTAAAATTCGAAAAATAAAATTTTTTCTTAAAGGTGGTTCGATCCGGATTGGACTTGATTCGGGAGTGGAACAGTCCGGATCTAATTTGAATGGATTGGACTTGGTTTGGACGGACTGGAAATAGTCTGGACCATTTCTCGCTCGTCATGTATGTAAAACATGGTACGGATAGATCTCGATCTCGTCTGATCCGAACTAGTCCCCTAAGAACACATTCTTCTTGAACGTGATAATTCGATTTGACAACATGTTATTCAGTCAAATTCAATTCCATCTTTCTGATTCTTCAGATATAAGTCTATATTGTTATGTGATCCTATATGCACATTGGCAGTGGTAGTAGACTCGAAAATCATTTTTAAGTTACAAGTTATGGTTATCTTCTAACAAGATGTCATGAATACGCACGTTAAATTAAGCTATAGATGATTTAGCCAAGGTGATAACAGTTCAAGTTCTAATCATTTGTCTCACGATATCATATCTTGAATTGGGTATGGAATGCGCCACCATTCACGTTCAATCGTTTTCTCGTCTGATAATTGACTGACAAGACATGAATTATTTATCTATAGTACGATCATGCATTTTCACAGTCTAATTTGTATGAGGAGGTCAACGATACCTCTCCTATTAAGGAGGTGATAAATCATGTATTGATTGTTTATAATCTCCACAAGACTTGTAAACGTATCTGAGTAACGTCGTTATAGTTCATCCGATTAAAGACGATGTTTGACGCAGTCAAGATACGTTTTTCCTCATTTTCGATACTGTAGATATCTCAGATATGAGTATCCAAAAACGAATCTCTACATGAGATTCAAGTCCTCGCTCAAACATTTGACAATCTCATGCGGATTATCCAATCACTCGTTTCAAGTGAGTACCCATGATTGTCATTCGCTTCCAATGCGCACGATCATCTCTATGATTATCAATCATACGTTATGGTGATATTAATTTATCATCGTTTCCACAATGACAACCAACCAAAGAATTCAGAATCACACTACAATGACTCAATGATATGGATGTATAATAAATATGCAGATTATATAGAAGGAAAATAATCATTCATATAAATGAATCAACAAATAATACAAATATCATATCTCGGGTTATCCTAGAGCATCACAACCAATAAAATCAACATGGACTCGTTGGATTTCCTTTGAGCGCGCAACTTGTAATGTCCGATCTGTATCAATTGCTGCCTCTCGGTCTATACAGCTCTTTCGCAATCTTAGAAGACATGGTCCCATTGGCCCAATCAACGGAACCTAGACTCATGAACAATGTGGTTCTACCATCTCCATTCTCCAATTCCAATCTCAAACTTGATTACAAATGAGTTTGCGCAAGCTATAAGATAAAAGAGCGATGACATTGTCTCCCATAACCCACTTTTACGAAATACATTTTGGCGTAGCCAAGCAGCCCATATGGAGCCAGAGTTTGTGAAAATCGGTCATATCAATTGTCGTCCATGTTTCTAGGTTTCGCTTGAATTTTTCGATTTTTTTGTTATTAAATAGGTGAAATATAAAAAAATATGCGATTATAAAATTGATTGTCTCGATCCATACGACTGAAAAAGTGATTATACCAATTATATGAATTATAAAAGTAAATGAATAATATTTCGCTCATAAAAAGATAGACATGAGGGAGATAAAATGACAATAAATCCCGAATCTAGAATGATTTTGAATAATGTTCGCAAGAAAATATTTACCTATTTTATCTTAGTAGATGATTAGAACCTAACTTCAACAGACGCCATGTGTCCACCTATAAAAGATACTTATCTACTTTTTTGTTTTCCTTTTTCTGTGGGGAAGAATATTATCTTCGTTTTCTTACCTAATACTGTATCTAATGCCGAAGAATCTATCTCGAGTTTATGGAGAGAACATTTTTTTCCGTAATAGAATTTCATATGATACATATTTCCTATATAGTATTATAATTCTTTTGTCAAAGTATAGTATTATAATTCTTACAACCATTTCAAGATATTCTTCATGTTTCTTTAAAAGAGTCATTATCAAAAATATCCTTACTTTACTATTTTGACTTCAAGACATATTATTCTCCAGTGACCCTGTGATCCATGTGATCAAAAATTTAATCTTGGTCATTTTGGCCATAACGTTAAATTTATGATGATCATACTCATTCATTATGTTCATATCTTATATATATATCACTAATCATTTGATAAAAAATTTATAAATTCAATGTTATGACCAATGTGACCAAGATTAAATTTCTTGTCACATGGGTCACATAGTTACCGTTGAAGAAGGGTATGCTTTGAAGTAAAAATAGTAAATGGAGGGTATTTTTGATATAATTCCCTTTAAAACCATTTTAAGATATTTTTATAATTTTTACCAAAAAAAGATATTTTTACAACCATTTTAAAAATATATGAAAAATTTATATCTGTATATAAACTCATCACTAACATGCATCAGGATTCACAAGATACTCTAAAAAAACAAATACAATATTTTCAACATGAATCAATTTGAGACTGAAGTGCTCATTGTCGGCGCCGGACCGGCGGGATTGGCCGTAGCGGCCTGTCTTAACAAGGCCGGAATCAGAAACCTTCTTCTCGAAAGAGAGGATTGCTATGCCTCTCTTTGGAGGAGAAGATCGTATGACCGGCTAAAGCTTCACCTCGCGAAACAATTTTGTGAGCTTCCTCACATGGCTTACCCTAAAGGCACACCCACATTCATGCCCAAATCCGATTTCGTTCGCTACCTCGAACGTTACGTTTCTCATTTTGGGATCAAACCCTTGTGCGAAAGGAACGTTGAGTCTGCAGAGTTCAATCCCCGTGCCCAGAGGTGGTTCGTGCGGGTGATGAACCGAGCCTCGGGTGAGCACGAGATCTATACCGGAAGGTTTCTAGTAGTTGCCACAGGGGAAAACGCCGACGGATTCATCCCAAAGGTGGATGGTTTAGATGGGTTCAAAGGGAAGTGCATTCACTCGTCTATGTACAAGAATGGCAAAGAGTTCAACGGTGAAAATGTCCTCGTCGTCGGCGTTGGCAACTCCGGCCTCGAAATCGCTTACGATCTCTCCAACTATGGTGCAAAAACTTCCATCGTTTGTCGTGGCACGGTAGCGATATTGCACCTCTCTTGACGTCGTATTTTCCCACGGTCTTGGAACGTTTTTATGCAAATGTAATGTTCATCTGTATTTCAAAATTATTATTTGGGACGATGATATATATATATATGCAGGTGCATATAGTGAACAAGTATATCGTGTTCTTGGGGATGATGCTGCTGAGCTTTCTTCCATTGAAGATGGTCGACACGATAATTTTGTGGCTATGCAATTTGTGGTTCGGAGACACTTCCCGATACGGTGTGCCACGGCCGACCGCCGGACCGTTTCATCTCAAAGTGACAAAGGGAAGATCCCCGACCATTGATGTCGGAGCCATGCCCAAGATCCGTACAGGAGACATCAAGGTGTTTACGTATATACATATATTATAAAAATCGGGCTATACACAAACACATTATACATGCATATATCCATATCCCATGATGTATACAAAGACTGTAATGATGAAATAACTATAGATAGATGTAGATTGGAAATTCAGTTTTGATTGTTTATTTTGTGAACAAGTTATAATAACATAACATAAAATTTATTTTAACCAATGTAATAGCCTTATTAAAATGTGTATATTAAATACAGGTTTTCCCGGCCATCTCGAGCATCAAGGGAAACGACGTCGTGTTTACAGATGGTAGAGCGTATCGTTTCGATGCTCTCATATTTGCTACGGGCTATAGAAGAACATTTCAAGATTGGCTAAAGGTATTTTTAATTTAGTTTTTTTACCACTTATATATATATATATATATATATATATAGCACAATAATATTTTGTCTTTATACCTTATCTCTATTTTTTTTTTATTTGTTCAGGGCTCAGAATATTTGTTTCCGACTCAATTTAAAGAGAATGGAATTTATTTTGCTGGATTCGGGAGGAATGGATTGTTCGGAATCTCAAAAGATGCAGTAAACATAGCAAATGATATCAATTTATGCCTTAATTAACCAAGGTGGGACTCAAAAGTGGAATACCGTGTTTTTTAATGTCATATATGTACAGTTATATTATTAAATTAATAAAGGGTAATATAATGGAATTTATGAAAAGTTATCTATCATGTAATTATATTCCTGGTTGGATTAGTGTTAATGTCCTAATATGATTAGTTTGTCGTTTTTAGGGGGATTAAATTTAGTATATGTGTGTTATTTAGTTGAATGAATAAAATAAAGTTTTATTCTGCAAATATTGATATATATAACATTTTTTTTCTAAATAGTATATATATATATATATATATATATATACGCGGACCCTTTAAAATTGCCCCCATTTGTTTAAGTAAAACCAATCTCATACCATGTCAAGATTTTTTATCAAAAGGAAAGTCATGAGAGAAAACAAATCAAAACTAAAAGAAATTAAAAACCAAAAAAACAAAACTAAATAACTAACTTTTTTTTAAAAAAAGTCTAAAACCTTCAAAACCATATCGGTGATGGATACGGTGTATCACCATCTTCATCATCATCATCTCCGTCTTCAATCATCATTCTTTTGCTAAAGCTAACAAAACTTTAAACCTATATAACGTAACGAGACTAAAATATTATGTCAAGATTTTACATAATAAAGAATTGTTGTATTATTGATAATCTAATGAATTTAAATATACAACGTAGTTTTCGAACTCTCTCATTTCTATCCTAGATGATAAGAATATATAAATCCAATTTAAATAGAAAATGCACTAATAACTAAACTCTATAAGAACTGAAAATCTTCCTATTTCTCAATATAAAAGTTTATAAGATTTTAAATAAAATTGTTAAAACCCTTGATGAATAATATAGGGAAACACATATTCCATACAGAACACAACACATAGAGCGATTACATGAATATGATCCCCATCAACTACGTGAAAATTCGAACCGATCACATTTTTTAAAAATCGGATATCAAGGTGAAACCAATTAAACTAAGTCTCTCCGATTTTGTCCAGAGCCTCCATCTCTTCCTTGAACTTGGGCATTGCATCTCTCGGCAGTGTCATTACCACCTTAACTCCCCCGACCATCTTCTGATCTAACTTGCACGGTCCGAGAAGCATGCCGAGATCCGCGGCTCTGTCCGGAGGCACGACCGGCAACAGATTCACCGGCTCTCCCCATCCGAAATCCATCGATCCGAACCAGCCTATGTTCCTCCAGTCCGTCAAGAAGAACAGCCCGTCACGTCTTCCTTCGAACTGCTCGCCCATCCGAGTAAGCTTCTCCGTGTTGCGTAACTGCTCGGCGATGTACTCCTTGTCATGGGCTTTGATCTTTGCTTCCTTTACAAGTTTTACGATCTCGGAGATTGGTGTTTCGTCCACCTCTCTTGCTGTTAACTCGACGTGCATGTCCATGCATGCGTTACCGTAGTACCCATCAGGCAATGGCGGATCCACGGCACGTCTTATTGCCACAGCTAAGCCGAGGACAACGATTCCATCGGGGTTTAGCTTTAGGGCACGAATTCTTGACCTCCAAATGTAAGCTCCTAGGACTTCGAAAGTTGTCAGAATCTGACCCGAAAAGTCAGATTCTCTCAGTAAATCTTCTTTCAACCTCTTTATGTCTTCAGGTTTTACATTTACCGCTTCACTGATCTGTTATTAAAAAAAATGGGGACACCCGAAATATGAAATATCTAGGTGACATATATAAAAATAAGTGTCCAAATAAATCACGGATTTGTATTTTGCTTATTCATATAAATGGTGAAATATCACAAGACTAGACCATGAACTTGTATTAAAATAAATATCTGAATTCATGGGCAATAAATATGCGTTGAAGTTTCTAATTATACGAATACATTAATTATGAGGTTGTATTAAATGGTGTATAATTATCCAACAAATTTATGGTTTATTTTGGAAACTGAACACAAACTCATGGTGTATTTGGAAATTGTAAGCAAATAACGTTGGACAGTTAGTAGAAATGGACGTAAATGTTGTGTAGGGAGGAAGTAAAACTATGCACACAAACCATGTCTTTAGTTGGCATATAATGAGAAACAGCTAAACGACAAGCTTTGTCGGCTCCGGGGATTTCCACTGGTCGGTCATCTGGAATACCGACGAGCAGGTCTCTCTCCCATGTCGGCACCACTGTCGGCTCACTCTTTCCGGCCGCCAACTCCATCAAGCTACTGATGAAACGAGCCACCCCAAATCCATCGCACACCGCATGCGTCAGTGCTGTCCCAATTGTGAATCCTCCGCACGGGAATTTGGTTATCTATATAACTCCATACCTAAGAGTTAGTCAATCCAATACACTTTGTCATTAGAAAAAAAAATCATTTTGGTTACCTGCAAAGCCAAAGGGTAGTAACCAATCTCCCTATCATAGTTCTCATCATCGATTTGGGGCAAGAGCAAAGACGCGGTATCGAAACCGACGTTCTCTAGGTAGCCGAGAGAAGAGAGGTCGAGATTTGACGTAGCGACGGTAAAGGGCACGCCCTCAGCGCCGTTACATCTGAGCTGAAGTTTCCCGTCGCGTTTTCGCCTGTTCAACTTGCCCGAGAGTGGGTAGTAGTGGACGAGTAGATTCGACAAAGCATCCTTAAGAAGGGATTCAGGGTGGTCATCATGATGATGGATTCTAGCCGCGTTTCTCTCGGCGTCGTAAACGTAAATGGTACAGTACATAATTTCGTTGCGAGGGTCGTTATCTAATGTGGAGAGGGAGAGAGTTTCGTAATGCGGTTGGTTCGAGGGTTTGATGAACTCGGTCGTTCTCTTCCCGACCATAAGAGGGCATACGCTTATTTGGTTCGCCATGTTCCTCTCTCTTTGTTTCAAGACTGACAAGTGATTGTCTTGAAGCCATTTTATAACCGAACATACTAAAGAAAGTAACAGTTTGGACACGTAAAGACGTACCTCGTACGCTGTTGTATTGTAAGAGAAGAGTCTGTATAGTAAAATACATGCAGTCCAAATACAAGATAATTAGTGTCTTATGTTTTCTCCTAATATGCAAATGGTAGATGATTTATACTTTAGCATTTATTAATAAATCGTTTTCCCTCCATGTAGAATTTCCCTGTCTTTTTAGGGCTTTTTTTAATGAAGCCATAAAGTTAATGTCTAGACGCATTCAAGGGGCGAGTCTTCTGCATGGACATTTCGGATATGGTGATTCCGTTCGATAAATTTTTCTGTTTGTTTTCTTTCTAAACCTTATAATCATTTGGCTTTTCTATCGGTTTTAAATTCGATTTATATTTTATTCCGATTACAATTTTTTTTAAATAAAAAATTTTAAAAATGGAATATATTTTTATTATTCTTATATACAATCGATTCCATTAATTTGATTTTTTTTAAAAAAATAAATCCACTATTTAGATTTTTACCCGGCCGGTTTAATACAAGATTTTCCGGTGTTTCTGGTTTTTCATCTTTTTTAAAACAAAGCCGAATGCCAACCTCTAGTGGATGATGCCAAAGATCATTCCGATATGTCACGTTAAAAATATAAATAAAATCACATAACAATTTCTTAGGGATTTTTTTTTTTATATAAAAACCCAAATCACAACAAGACTCACCAAAACTCGATACGCGCACGTCACCCGAGAGAACCGGAGCCTTGCGGAGGTTAAGCAATGAAAAGAGTGACATATAAACAAATACATTAAAATAAATAAATAAATAAATAATACTAAGTTTTGAAATATATAAGACCCAAATGATGATACTCACCAACACTTGGTTCCCGCGAGTGCCAAAATATTGCGGTGGTTGAATGATGTCGAAGCTTACACCCTAATCAATCAAATTAAATAAAAATGCCTCAGAATAACATTTTCTATAAGACCCAATTTACGAGATCTCGAATAGTATGATAGATCCACGGACGACGAATATAGCTAAATGGGGAATATAAAATATAAAAAGATTGTTAGAATAAAATATATAGATCTAATAGAGGAGCGTAAAGATATAAAAATTATTATTATCGGTAATTGAAATATATATATATATATATATATATATATATATATATATATAAATTATTAATGGGCAATTCTATTAGATATATGTTATTGATATCAATTATCATTAATTTAAAAAACCAATTTTAAATATTTGAGAATAATATTAGTGGTTGTGGGCACCACCCCTTAATATTAATGATATATATCGGTCCATATCCACGTCAAGAACGTGCTTGTGAAATAATATAATCAAAAAGATTTTTACAAAAAATGGAAATATGGAACAACAGAATTGCACTATAGTAGAACCATAAAACGCTCAACTTTTATATGGTATGGCATCACATATTATAAAATGGTAAATATACGTCTGTGTATGTGCGTGTCCGTATCACGTGATCCAACTGCTACGATACCCTCAGTTCGGATTATGTCTCTGGCTTAGGGTTCGACTGGTTGTACCGCAGCGGTTGCGGTTGCGGGTGGCAGCATTTTCAAAACGTTTGATAGCGATTATAAATGATTAGTATTGACTGGTTGAGAAGTTGTTGTTGGTAGCGATTGCGGGTGGGTGCAGTTAGAAGTGAATGGTTCATTACGGTTGCGATTGCGTTTTGATATAAATTGTCAAAAAAAATATTATTTAAAAATAATTTTTTATAATAGTTTTAATTAAAATTTTTGTATCATTTTATAAAAATTATTTACTAAATTTATAATAATTAAATAATAAATTTAAAATATAAATATTATCAATTTAATTTATTTCAAGTAAAAAAATAATTTTATTATAAAAATTATTAAAAATAATCATTATTAAACCTAAAAATTATACTATTATATTTTTTTTATTAAAATATAATACTAAAAAATAATATCAAATCATAACACTAAACAAAATCATCACCAATATATATATATATAGTTCGGTGCAACCAGTCGGCCCCATAATCTGTTCATATGGAAAAAGATCTTTTTGTTTTTTTTTTCTCTCTGAAATTTCGTACGCAACGCACCGAATAGATCCTTCTACAATAAAAAGAAAGGTGGTGCAATTTATTGCTGAATAACAACCATTATTTAGGGTTTAGATCTCTAATTAAAATCTCTCATGGATTATGAATCGTATGAATGGGATGTTAGAAAACCCCAACAGAGCTAGGTCTATATCAAGAGTCTCGATAGTCTGTATGTCAAACTCGGGATTAGGGTTACTTTCTATTGATTAGGTTAAAATGTGTATTAATTTGGCCTAAAACTTAAATTAATATAATTATATATATTTTTTAATATATTTCTTTTAAATGAGATTGAATAATTCGTCACGTTTCCCATTAGATTTTCCTCATAAATCGTTCTCGCTATTAATCAATCTGGTTGTGTTGAAAGCACCCACGAGATGGGTATTACGGGCCGATTCGATGGAGCCCAATTTAAGTGGCCCACCAAGATAACACCCGACCCGACCCGATTTCATGTACTTAAACGATATCGTTTTATGGGTTGGCTTTTGAGATCCATGAAATCAGAACTCTGTTCTCGCCGCCGTTTGTTTCCTTTTGGTTTTCAGAAAGCCTCTTCGGAAATTTTACCCACCCTTTCCACTCTTTCGATTCCTGAGATTTCTAGGGTTCTTCTGCAGAGAAAGAGATAGAGTGAGTAGCGGCCGAGCATAGAGGCATTGAAATTTGTGGTATTGGGGTTCTTCAAATCGGGACCCTAGTCCTGTGAACAATAACCATGGCTCGGCGCAGAGGCGATGACGACGATGATGATCTTGACGAGGAGTACGGTGAAGAGGATGCTGCGGCAGAGTTTGACGATGAAGAGGAGGAGGAGATAGTTGGCCGTGGCGGGAGTTCGAGTCGGAAGAGGGGAAGATCGGATTTTATTGATGATTATGCGGAGGAGGATTCCGAAGAGGAGGAGGAGGATGAGGAAGACGATGATTATGGAGGTCGTGGAGCAAGGGGAAATAAGAAGAAGAAGAAGTCTTCGGCTTCCATATTTTTGGATGAGGAAGCTCAGGTGGATGAGGAGGATGAAGAGGAAGAAGAAGAAGGAGAGGACGGTAAGGGGAAATTGACCTTTCTTTTGTCGGAGTTCTTTTGATTTCGGAATTTTGGATCCTCACCCAACTTCGACCGTCCTGCTTTTGTGTTTCTATGAGATATGAACTCAAAGTCTCAAAGATATCGCTCGGCTTGTTTCAGTTTGAGTTTGAACTTAGGGACTAACGGTGGGCTTAAGTGATTAGGCTACTCCAAGTAAAATAGTTGAGATTTCTGGCTGTCGGCTAACTGATGCAATCAATCATCATGTTATTGGGCAAGGTGTTTTTTGTTGTCAAGATTGTTTATTTTGCACATAAGTGTTTTGAAGATTCAAAGCAGTGTTGTTTTCCAAATTCTTGACATGCTCAAAACCTTGCATTGCATAAGGGAGTAATACTTGTTATGGACAAGTAGTCTTTTACTCTTTTACTCCATCCATCAATCTAGTTGCATACCCATTTTACTTTCAAAAGTTTACTCGGTTATGTGTTTAGCTCCTTCTGCTCCTACATTTCTCAACGAGACATAAGATCACTCGACTTTGCTACCCGCAACTGCTAATATTTATATCATGTATTGTCTTAATTGCAGATTTCATAGTGGATGGTGGAGCCGACATACCTGATGAGGGTGTTGGTAGACGACTTCATGAACGTAGGTTTCTTTCTCGTGAGGAAAACGAAGAGGATGTTGAAGACCTTGAAAGGAGAATTCAGGAGAGGTATTCTAGGCATCATGCGGAATATGATGAGGAGGCCACAGATGTTGAGCAGCAAGCACTTTTGCCATCAGTCCGGGATCCAAAATTGTGGATGGTGAAATGTGTGGTGGGTAGTTTGCATGTGTAGGCTTGAAAATTGGAAGTCTTGTTGCTCTTTGCTTCTTATTACATTTCTTATCAAGTTGGCTTGTATTCCTTAGCATTGATTCTCTTCATTTTGAATTTTCCAATGTCAGATTGGCCGTGAAAGGGAGGTTGCTGTTTGTCTAATGCAAAAATTCATTGATAGAGGATCAGATTTGCAGATCAGGTCTGTTATTGCACTTGATCATCTGAAAAACTATATATATGTTGAAGCAGATAAGGAAGCTCACGTGAAAGAGGTATTTGCTACTTTGTCTCCTGCATATGATATTTTGATGTTATGAGCTCAGCACAGTGTTTCATGAGTGTTTGTCCCAGTTTAAAGCTAATTTGATATGCTACTTTGGTTCTTTCACTTGTGGTTCAGGCCATCAAGGGAATGCGGAATATTTTTCATAGTCAGAAGATTTTACTTGTTCCTATAAGAGAAATGGCAGATGTTCTGTCCGTTGAAAGCAAAGCAATTGATTTATCTCGGGATACCTGGGTTAGAATGAAGATTGGAACATATAAAGGGGATCTTGCTAAGGTATGATTCAGTTTCATCTGTTCTTTATACGACAAAAATCCCTGAATCTCACTGAGGTGCTCCTTTACAGGTTGTTGATGTAGATAATGTGCGTCAGAGGGTCACAGTCAAGTTGATCCCGAGGGTTGATATGCAGGCACTAGCTAATAAGTTGGTATGGCATCTGTCCATCGTTAAGGAGGATAAATTGTGTTATTACTGCTTTCTAAATATATCTCTTACCGACCAGAGTACTGTATGTCAAGAAATGACAACTACCATTCTTGCATATGTAAGAGCTTCAGTATTGCTTTGGATGTCTAACTATTCAATTGTTTGTGTTTTTTTTTTACTATATGCAGGAAGGGAGAGAAGTTGTAAAGAAAAAAGCCTTTGTTCCTCCTCCGCGCTTCATGAATATTGATGAGGCGAGGTATTTCTTCCTTGAAACCATTCAGTAATTTTGAGGAGTTAAGAAGTTTGTGCTGATGGTTTTCTCTGTGTCATTCCTCTAGGGAATTGCACATTCCTGTTGAGCGCCGGAGAGATCCAATTACTGGTGAATACTTCGAAAATATTGGTGGCATGCAATTCAAAGATGGTTTCTTGTACAAAACTGTCTCGATGAAGTCAATTACTGCTCAGAATATTACACCAAGTTTTGATGAGCTTGAAAAATTCAATAAACCAAGTGAAAATGGGGAGAGCAACATTGCTAGTCTGTCAACTTTATTTGCAAACAGAAAGAAAGGGCATTTCATGAAGGGGGATGCAGTTATTGTCATCAGGGGTGATCTAAAAAATTTGAAGGGATGGGTCGAGAAAGTGGATGAAGAGAATGTTCATATCAAGCCAGAAATGAAAGGCCTCCCTGTAAGCATTCATGCTCCAAGATTCATTTTATAAATCTGTTGGCAATAACATGCATGCTTTTGAAATTCTTAAGCCAGTATAAAGGGGCGAGCATGACTCGTGTTGCAGAAAACTGTTGCTTTAAACGAGAGAGACCTTTGCAAATACTTCGAACCTGGAAATCATGTGAAGGTTGTTTCTGGAACCCATGAAGGAACAACCGGCATGGTTATCAAAGTTGACCAGCACGTTCTTATCATTCTGTCTGATACAACTAAAGAAGATGTAAGCCGAATTTCGTCTTTCTCGTCACCAAATTTACTGACTGGAAAAAGAGAACAATTCACATGAGGTTTATGTTTTCAGATACGTGTATTTGCTGATCATGTCGTTGAGAGCTCAGAAGTGACAACAGGTGCTACCAAAATTGGAGACTATGAACTCCATGACCTTGTCCTTCTGGAGTAAGTTGAGGCCCACCTTTAGTCAATTCACTTTTTTTCCATTGACAGATGTATGAGAATTTTAATTACTTGATGCAGTAACCTGAGCTTTGGAATAATCATACGACTGGAAAATGAAGCTTTTCAGGTAAATTGCTATCTTTTTGTGTATGCAACAGTTGATTTGGTATGTGTGCTAATTTTCTTTGCTCTTTAAGGTTCTTAAAGGGGTCCCAGACAGACCAGAGGTTGCTCTTGTCAAACTCAGAGAAATCAAGTGCAAAATTGAGAAGAAATCTGATGCGCAAGACCGCTACAAAAATACCATCTCTGTGAAAGATGTTGTCAGAGTCATTGAGGGTCCTAGCAAAGTCAGGGATTTGTTATTGGTTGCTGTACTTGTGAATTAACATTCCTGTTTGCTAGTCTTATACCGATTTATTTGTGTTTAACAGGGAAAGCAAGGTCCAGTGATGCATATTTATAAAGGGGTCTTATTTATAAATGACCGACATCACCTTGAGCATGCTGGATTTATCTGCGCTAAGTGTACATCATGTGTTGTTGTTGGTGCACCACGCCCTGGTGCTGATAGAAATGTAAGCCTTTCTCGTGGTCTGGTTATCGTTTAGTTTTTATGCGACAATAGATTTACCGGTTTCATTACTCTAGGGTGATTCCTTCTCAAGGTTTGGCACTTTCAAGACACCAGCCCCAGTACCCCAATCTCCAAGGAGATTTCAACGTGGAGGCATGGGATATAACTGTATGTTCAGATTTCCTGATATCATCTTTGTTATCACTAAATGTTTCTATTGTTTAATATCAGTTGATATTTTTATTTTTAGCTGCTCGTCCCGATGTTCATTGGTCTAATTTTGCACTGATTCTCTTTTTGTCTATCACCTGTGAAATGCATGTGTTCTATGAAGTTAGGTTCTTGTAATTTTGAACTGTCTTTTCAAATGCAGCTGGAGGGAGACATAGGGGAGGAAGAGGGGGTCATGATGCCCTGGTGGGTACTACAGTCAAAATTCGCCTGGGTCCTCACAAGGGATATAGGGGACGTGTAGTGGAAGTCAAAGGTCCATCGGTACGTGTGGAACTTGAATCTCAGATGAGGATTGTGACAGGTGAGGCCTGTATTTAACTTCTCTGCTCTATCTTTTGTGTGTGTTTGATGCATTCTAACTGTATTTGCATATGCAGTTGACCGGAATGCAATTTCAGATAATGTGGTTGTGACACCAACAAGGTAATGTCGAAATCTTTTCCTCATTGGTGATTTTTCCATATATTACCAAAAAAGAAAACAATAAGACTGTTTGACTTGTGTACAGAGACACATCTCGGTATGGTATGGGAAGCGAAACACCTATGCATCCTTCTCGCACTCCACTTCATCCATATATGACTCCAATGAGGGATCCTGGAGGTTCGATTTCCTAGCTCTTGCATAGTCTAGGGATTCTTATTTTTGCTTATCTTGCTTGTTTTTTCAAATATCACTCTTTTGTAATATACTTTAGTAACAGCTACACCTATCCATGATGGGATGAGAACCCCCATGCGTGATAGAGCTTGGAACCCTTACACGCCTATGAGTCCACCTAGGTACATTGCTTTTTCCATATTTGTTTACTGTTGATGAGTTTCCCCTGTCATCTTTGTTCTTTTTTGGATCTTGTGGCTAGTATTCGAGTAGGCCCAGGGAACAACTAATATTCAGCATTCTGGTGATGGCATGCATTTTGATGAAGAGTTTCCTTAAATGTTTCTTTCCTAATAAAAGAAATAAAACGTTGATCTCCTCAAATTGGGTGGTACTATATTAGGGATAACTGGGAAGATGGGAATCCGGGTTCTTGGGGAACAAGCCCACAGTATCAGGTAAGATTTCATCCATGGGCCTACCGGTGAATTCTATGCATGGATAGCTGTCATGATTGCGTTTAATTGTTTTCTTGACACGGACACTCTGATGGTTTCTTGTACAAAACTGTCTCGATGAAGTCAATTACTGCTCAGAATATTACACCAAGTTTTGATGAGCTTGAAAAATTCAATAAACCAAGTGAAAATGGGGAGAGCAACATTGCTAGTCTGTCAACTTTATTTGCAAACAGAAAGAAAGGGCATTTCATGAAGGGGGATGCAGTTATTGTCATCAGGGGTGATCTAAAAAATTTGAAGGGATGGGTCGAGAAAGTGGATGAAGAGAATGTTCATATCAAGCCAGAAATGAAAGGCCTCCCTGTAAGCATTCATGCTCCAAGATTCATTTTATAAATCTGTTGGCAATAACATGCATGCTTTTGAAATTCTTAAGCCAGTATAAAGGGGCGAGCATGACTCGTGTTGCAGAAAACTGTTGCTCTAGTACACCTGGCGGTAGTTACAGTGATGCTGGGACACCGAGGGACAACGGCTCGGCCTATGGTACTCCACATATTTGTCTCTTTCAGACCAGTGTTTTGCTGTTTCTTGTTTAGCGAAATCTTTCCACTGTCTGTCTTGCAGCAAATGCGCCAAGTCCTTACCTACCATCTACACCTGGGCAACCGCAACCCATGACACCAAGCTCGGCATCGTACTTGCCTGGAACTCCTGGAGGACAACCAATGACTCCTGGAACCGGTCTCGATGTCATGTCCCCTGTTATCAGTACGGTCCTCTCGTTTTTATTATCAGAATTATATTGGTCGGTCTTTGGTCCTGCACTCAGCACTTGTCTCCCTGTAGTTATAGAACTTTGATTTTACTTTTTCATCCACCAAAGCTTTCCATACACCTGAATTTTGCATTATTTTGGGGGGTGGTTTTCTTAGCTTACTGTGAGAATTACAGGTGGAGATGCCGAAGCATGGTTCATGACTGATATTGTGGTCGACGTACACAAAGCTGGAGAAGATAGTGATGTGGGAATAATCCGAGATGTTCTTCCGGTTTGTCTCTTTGGTTTTTCATTTACTGTCTCCTTTCTTACATCTGCAAAGAATCTCGTAGTTTTTAGACACTGTATCCATGACACTATGAAATTACAGTGGAATCATGTTCATCTATCTGCCTTGATGGAATGTCACTCTCACACACGAAGCACGACACACATGTACTCATATTCTAACATTAGACTTGAGAGTTGAGAAACTTGTCCTGATTGGCATGTTCATGAGGAGATCCCATAAAGCTGCTCGAGCTGATGAATATATACATACACATGTTCTTAATCATTAGACTTCCTCCTCTGTGATACCTTTGTCAGGACGGCTCTTGTAAAGTGGCTCTCGGGTCAAGTGGGGAAGGCGACGTTATAACGGCCCTCCCGAGCGAACTGGAGATAGTTTCTCCGAGGAAGAACGATCGTGTCAAGATCGTCGGGGGTCCGTATCGCGGGTCGACAGGTAAACTAATTGGGATCGACGGTTCGGACGGAATTGTTAGGATAGATGACAGCCTTGACGTTAAGATTCTGGATTTGGCTATATTAGCAAAATTAGCTCAAGCATGAGATCAGTCTAGTTCGTTTTCAGTTATGAAGTGAAATCCATGATGTGACCATATACATAAATTGTATACAAATTTCTTAGTTGTTTTTTAGAGAAATTTTGGGAATCCATTGCATTTCCGTGCATTTGTATTTGTAATATCATTGGGTAATCATGTTTTTTTTTAATTACCTAAAAAAATATTTTTAGGTTAATTTGCAAAATGGTGATTTGGGGTATTGTGTGTGTATATGTATATATAGTGTGTGTGTGTATCTTTGTTTAACCTTTTTTGAGACTGCCTGATAGTGTTTATTTAAAATCCTATATGATTGAAATGTTTCCAAAATCTGGGTAGAAGACGAAAAAGGCTCAATTTCTGTTTGGAACCAAATTAATTTTATGTATTTCATTCAAGTTGGGTGGTGTTTTATTGAAAGGAATATTCACTTTGAGGATTATATGATATAATATTCGTTAGTGTTTTTTTAGGTTGGAATCTTGTCATACGGAATATCCGTAGAATAATAGAGATTCTTTAGTAGAAAATAGAGAAACATAGTAATAGTGCCGACTGGCACTGGCTAACATCAATTTTAATTAAATGTTACTATACAGTTTCTTTTGCAATTTGTATTTTTCAGAGGTAATTTTGGACAGTCAATAAAAATGTAAAAACACTATGACCTGCCTTCGGTTTTGCTATTGCAAATGATTTTTTAATGGTTATTTGTCATAAAATACAATTTTTTCTTACCAATATAGAAAAAAAAAAACAGGAGATCGTACGTTATCAGAACATCGTTTTGTCCATGTTTTCTTATTTTATTTATATTCATAATGTCAATGTAACAGTTTTTCTAATTTGAAAAATGATTCCGTAAGAGATTCCAGCCAAATTCAAGTTGGCTTCTAAGAACTCTGGAATCCAATAATAGTAATTAATAATAAACATACCATATTATGTGTCAGCTTTGGGTACAACTGAAAAACGTCGGTCCAGTTAATGTGTCTCCAGTTCGGATGGCCCACTTGGTGAAAAGTGGTTTTCCAAAACCACTTCCAGCTTTTGTTTTGTGTTCCCTTGTTTTGTAATCATGATTATTGATTTAATAAAAAAAAGATTTGGATTCCAATTAAGTAAATGTTTAAACTCTAGTTGGGTATCTTCTATAGGAAAGATAAATCATACACCTTGTTTCAAATCATCGTCATTAAGACAATGATGATGATGATGATGATGATGATGATGATGATGAAACAAGGTTTATGGTATCATTCGCACTAAATTTACCAATTATGATTTTAAACATTAACGCTTGAAATCCGCAGCTTTTTTTAATTAAACTAATATCTCAACTCGGGAAATGAAGAATAATGTCAATGGAGACAAGGGCAGGTACCCAGGTCAACCATATGCCACGTCATCACCAAGGCGTGTCACGTGTCGCTTCGCTGGTGAGCGCCCCATGAATGTAAAGCAAAACAGTACGCAGAATCTTTGAGCGGTGTTCTCGTTATACTGTCTAATCTCTCCTATAAATTCAGACATACTTTGCTCTTCCTCTCTCCACCTTCATTCGAAAACAAAGCTTTCTTTTTTACAGAACATAAAACCCATTTACAAGATCGATATGTCGACTGCTGGTCAGGTTATTCGCTGCAGAGGTAGATTCTCTCTCATGGGTTTCTTTCTTTTGCCCTTCCGATTTTGCTTCTCCTCTCGTAGATTTCTGTATCGCCATTTGTATATACAGACATATCTATGTCTATATGTTCGGGGTTGTGCAGATTCCCTTTGCTTGTCTCTCTTTCCTTTGATCTGAAAATGTATGATAGTCACTGAAAGTAATGGTGTTGTTGATACAGCTGCGGTGGCGTGGGAGGCAGGGAAGCCTCTGGTGATTGAGGAAGTGGAAGTGGCTCCTCCTCAGGCTAACGAAGTTCGTCTCAAGATTTTGTTCACTTCTCTTTGCCACACCGACGTCTACTTCTGGGAAGCTAAGGTAGTTCTGGATTCTCCCTTTGCACTCGGATGAATCGGTATTAGCCCTGATGCGCTATGAAGTCGTATTTGATGAAATGAAGCTGAAGCTAACAAGGGTTTTAGGTTTGAGTTTGTCCCTCGAGAGAATCAGAACTTGTTAATATCCAGATCTGAATCTTTTGGGTTCATCGATGGAGGGCCCTAGGGTTCTTTTCATGGAAAAACTCTGATCTGAATCTTTTCCAGTAAGGAATTTGGATGAATCGTGCCCTTTTTTTTTGTGTTTACAGGGACAAACACCATTGTTCCCTCGGATTCTTGGACATGAAGCTGGAGGGTAAGCTCGTCTGCAATGATTCCGATGATCTGTTTCTGGTGTTTATGTAATAAAACTTTTCGTGGATTTGTGATGTTATATAGGATTGTGGAGAGTGTCGGTGAAGGGGTGACTGATCTTCAACCTGGAGACCATGTTCTTCCCATCTTCACCGGGGAATGTGGGGATTGCCGCCACTGCAAGTCCGAGGAAAGCAACATGTGCGACCTTCTCAGGATCAACACCGAGAGAGGAGTTATGATCCACGACGGGAAATCGAGGTTTTCGATCGACGGAAAACCCGTCTACCATTTCCTCGGGACATCCACCTTCAGCGAATACACTGTTCTTCACTCTGGCTGTGTTGCCAAGATCAACCCTGACGCCCCTCTCGACAAAGTCTGTGTTGTCAGCTGTGGTTTGTCAACTGGTGAGTCCTGTGTTAAAAAGGTTTTTTAAACTTTTCGGATAACGGTATATATATATATGACTGCTTTCGGTGTTTGTTCTTGAAGGGCTTGGTGCCACGTTGAATGTCGCCAAGCCGAGGAAGGGTGACTCGGTTGCTATCTTCGGGTTGGGAGCTGTCGGCCTTGCTGTGAGAAATTTCCCGATCTATCTCTGGTTTCGGTAAAACGGATAAGTTCTCTGGAAATATGACATTTGCCCATTTTTTCATTCGGGTGTAATGTAATGTAGGCTGCTGAAGGAGCTAGAATTGCCGGGGCTTCGAGGATCATCGGGGTTGATCTGAACTCAAGCAGGTTCGAGGAAGGTAAAGAAAACTGCATATGGAGATTTGGTATTTGCTTCGGCTTTATATATACCGAAAGATTCGGACATCGATCGATCTGAACTTGTCGTTGTTTCCTGCAGCTAAGAAGTTTGGTTGTACCGAGTTTGTCAATCCGAAAGAACATGACAAGCCTGTCCAAGAGGTCGGATCTCGATCAAGTTTGTGAATCTTGTCTTAATGGTTTTGAAATATATGAAAAACACTTCAAATATATATACGAATTCGGGGTTTCAGGTGATTGCTGAGATGACAAACGGGGGAGTGGACCGTAGCGTTGAATGCACCGGAAGCATCCAAGCCATGATCTCTGCATTTGAATGCGTCCACGATGTAAATTTTACTTTCTTGTTTTCTTATATATATATATGCATGATATATATGCATGTGTGTGATATATATGCATGTATGCATATACACATGGTGTTCTTATGTGTTTTCAGGGATGGGGAGTTGCAGTGCTGGTGGGTGTACCCAACAAAGACGACGCCTTCAAGACTCATCCGGTGAATTTCCTAAACGAGAGGACGCTTAAAGGAACTTTCTTTGGGAACTACAAACCCAAATCCGACATTCCCGGGGTTGTGGAGAAGTACATGAACAAGGTATATTACATATACATATACATATACATATACATATACATATGTACACTCTTATGTAATTAATAGTAATGAGGCCGTTGCAGGAGCTTGAGCTGGAGAAATTCATCACGCACAGTGTGCCGTTCTCGGAGATCAACAAGGCCTTTGAGCTGATGCTCAAGGGAGAGGGCCTGAGGTGCATCATTCGCATGGATGGCTAATCAAGACACGGATTCTCTCTTTCTTGCATCTTCTTCAATGAATTTGGGTTCATGAGCTGTGTCGCGTGTGGAGTGGAAGAATAAAAAGATTCTCTTTTCTTGTAATATTATTGCAGTGGAAGAATGAAAAATGGTTTTGTAATTTTTTTTTTTTTGTTCTTTTGTTGTCTCCTTTATATTCTATAATTAAATCCGTTTCAATTTCATGTTTTATGATTAAATAAAATTAAACCGGAGTGTAGAATGGAAAGGTTCGATTGTTTAAAATAGTATAGGACGTTAAATTGTAATTACCTCAGAAAAAATAAAATAAATACGATATAAGGAAAGTCATTGATAGAATAGGAAACGACGATATGTAAATCAACAACGGAATATAACAAGTTGCCAAATCCTAAACTTTATTACGAAAAAACCAGTCAATACCCTTATAAATACAGCTAAACCCTAAGGCGTTCCCCTCGCACTTTCATCGACTTCAGACACAGACAAGCGATTTCATTACGTTCTCAGAAGAAATCATGAACACTACTGCAGCAGTTACCCATCTCCGTCATCATCTGCAGCAAATCTCCGGAGCCGAAGACCTCAAGATCCATCTCAGTGCTTACGTTGTTCCGCCAGATTCATCCGAATTGCCCTTTTCGTTCGAGTGTCAGTTCTCTCCGTACGAATTCGTGTACGAGGAGGACGACTCTCCGGGCAAGGAAGAGCTTTACTACTTCTTAACCGAATCCGGAATCGAAGACTTCGATGCTCAGTTCGTGATCATTGACCTCGTTCTCTTGGCCTGTGAAGTGCTGAATTCGATTGACGATGGGTTTAGAGGAGTGCTGGCATTGAATCTGATAGTTCTCTTCCATCCGGTCGAGGATAACCGACCCGGTTCAGGACCCAAATCCGGTTTAGACCTGGGAGGCGGAGCAGCTAAGCAGGAGGGCGTGGAAGACGGTGGACAAAAACCCGGTTCAGACCGGCGAACCGGTGGTGAGGAGAAGACGGAGGAACGCGTGAAAAGACAGGGTGGGGAATTTACGGTTTCTTGCACATGAAGCAACCGCCCATATAAATATGCGAAATCTGTTCATAAATATTCACCTAGTTTTGCGTGGTGCATGAATTTCCCGGTGAATCTCCGTCCAGTAGACGATTGGGAAACCGCAATTCATCGAGAAGATCCAGCGGGTCTTTGTTAACTGTATCAACTACTAATAGATTTTTTTAATAACATTTTCTTTTTAGATTTTTTCTCTTCTTAATAAAATATAAAACAAAATTCATGTATATCCTAATCAGACTATTCTATGTGTTAATTAGTTATTTTTAATTTAATAGCCACAACATTCAAAAACTTTTCATTGCTAGATAAAATATAAAACCCCCATTCAATGTATATGAAAGAAAACTTTATAATAAGAAAAAAAAGAAAAGAAAAGAACTTTATTAAACAAATTACAAAAAAAAAAAAAAAAAAAAAAAATTGCAGCAGCAAAGGAGGACAAAAGGAGAAGGGCTTTTGATTGTTTCTCCCTTTTTCCTATTTCATTGTTTCCTATTTTGTGTTCCTTTTTTAGTTTGCGGTTACAGCATGACCTGCTTGTCGAAGATCCAGCTGAATCTAACGCCACGTGGCTCCATCTTCTTAGCCCTCTCATCGGCCCTCTCCTGGAGCCGCCTAATCCTCTGCGGCAATCCACACACGAATTCCTGTGCACCCCTAGCCTCGGCCGTCAAACCCTCCATCTTTTCCAACCCCCACCGTTCGATCAGAAACTCCAGTATCCCGGCGTAGTCCTCCGCCGTATAGACCCCCAGCCTCTGCGCGACGGCGGAGAAGTGATCGAACAGCGACGGATCACGGCCGTCGGTCATGAGGTGAGCCGGCATTGTGATCCTCTTCCTCATCATATCGGCGATGGCGGAAACGGCGCCGTTTGGGTCAACCTCGAGGAGCTTCTCGACGATACGGGCATATGCGTTCTCGTGGCGCTTCTCGTCAGCGGCGATGGTGCCGCAGATCCTCGCGAGGGTCGGGTCGCCCGCGTTCTTGGCGAGCCTGGCGGTGTTGCCATGGGAGACGAAGGTCGCTCTCTCCTGGAAGGATGTGTAGACAAACCCTAGGTATGGGTTGTTCTCTGTTCCTGGGTCCTGCAGATACAATGGGATCAAAAACGGTGCCGTTTATTACACTATCGTAAAACGATGCCGTTTATTCTTCTATCTTAAACGACGTCGTTTATTACTGGACGATAAAACGGTGTCGTTTGTTTTGCTATGTAAACGGTGTTTTTTCTGGGAGACTGACCATGCCGGAGCCAATGAGGTACTGGACGGTGCGTTCGACCATGACCATGTCGACGCGACCGGAGAGGTACAAGTAGGTGCGGAGGAGATCGCCGTGGCGATTCTCTTCCGCCGTCCAAGCACGCGTCCAAGCCGCCCAGGCGTTCGTGCTGGCACCCGTCTCGTCTCTAACGCCGTCAAGAGTGTTTATCATCGTCTGGTACGTAGGCAATGCGTCCTCCGTTATCATGTCCCCCACCAACACCACCAAGTACTCGTCCGGCAACGACGCCGTTCTCTCCCGCAGCTCCCTCACCTATCCAAACAAAAAATCAAAATTGTTTGTAATCATTTCGATGGTGGTCGATCAAGATTGGAATATATATATTCCTCGGACTGAGACCTGGTCGGCGAACTCGGAGTCGGGTCGGGTCGGGTCGGGTAAGAACGAAGCGGGTTGCCAACACTCGTCAACGGGCTTGAGGAGAGGGAGGACATTTTCTTGGGCCCAACCTTCGAGCGACCTGAACACTTCCATTTTCTCCGGCGGCATCGAGTGCCTCTTCCCCTGGTGCTTCAGCATCTGCCCCGGCGGAGCCGCCACCGCCGTTGTCACGCTCCGCCGAACAACCGACGGCCGTGGGGCCCATGAGATGGCGTTGCCCAGTAGAGAAGCCTGCATGGTCGCGTTTTTTTGGTGTGTCTGTTTTTTTGTTAGTGCTTGTGGAGAGAGGTGTTGGATGGAGTTATATACAGTAGTTTTTTTTACGGCGTTTGGACATTTTTGCCCCTTGTTATATGTAGACTTGGTTTAATTTCTGCCACTTGCTTAAAAATTTTAAACCTTTGATTTTGCTATAGAAATTAGTCAAATAAGTGGTATATTTTAGTTAGCTCTTGTATTTATGTCTCATACAAAAAAAACCGTTTTGAATAAACTAATGGAGAGAAGTACATTACAGAACTATTTATTTAACTATCTTTGGGATTATTTATAATATCATTGTTCGAGATATATGAAAATAATTTTTTAAAAAAATAAACTTACCATAATTTTTTATATTTTTCATAGCAAAAGCATTTGAAATTAGGGTGTTTGTAAATATTTTTGAAATACTTGTTGGCTATATATTTACAAGGGTAAAACGGTCAATTTGTAGGCGGCATATACCACTGCGAAGAACTCCGAGAAGTGGTTAAAACAAGGGGTGCGGCAACTGGTTTGAGATTCTGTGGGTTTTTCTTTTGGTTATTCCAAAAGGGAATCTTAAAAAACAGGTTTTTTTTTGTGGGTTTTTTAATTGCCAGCTCACCATTTTGGCCATTCCATAATTTTATCACCATTATTGTTTTACTAATTTATAATTATTATTTTAAATTGTATTATTTTTTTTGTTAAGTTGACGTTAATTAGTTATTTAGTCGTTCCTTAAGTAACAAATCAAACCAAACATTTTAATTGCTACGAAACCAACGTTTGGTATGTAGAACAAACCTAAGATTGACCTAATTAATAAATTTAATTTAAGCAGAATTGATCTATTTTTCCTTTTGACGACATATCAGCCTTTTATTTTTCTTAATTTGAAATTTTTGACAAATCATATGTATATAATTTATCCAATTTAATAATGTGTTACTAATTTAGGAAAAAAATTAGGAAAATTTTACAATATCAACTTTATTTAAAAAATATCAATAAATTATTTTCAATTTAATTTACTATTTTAATTTATATTTTTAAATCTGTTAATCCACCTGAATATTGATTTTGTCATTTGCTTCATCACCTTGAATATTTTCATCCATTAACCAGGGAATTTAGTTTTTTTTTCTTCTTTAATCATAGAATCAGTAAAAACGGGAAATCAGTCAAAGCTTTAATATATATATATATATATATATATATATCATAATTAATTTAAAATCACTATAGTAGATAGTGGAGGAACAGATGATGTTGGGTTTTGTAAAATTGCAAATATTTCTCAACAATCTTATAGAAAAAGAGGTGCACTTAAAAACCGCCCCTTTAAATATCTTGGCGTTAGGGTTTGCATTTCTTATTTAGTGAACAATAACAATATGTACAACAAACTTGTAATTTTCTTTTTTGCTTTTTATATAAACGTGACATGTTTTTGCATTTGGTATAATTAAAAGACCATTTTAGACAATATATAATTGCTAGACATTGTAAAGCTTGAGAGAGGAATGGCTCTTTCATTTCCGAATCGGTGAATAATACTGCTCGACATCAGAGTTACATGACGGTCCGACCGAACCGTGGCTCCCCTCGTCCATGCCTCTGGCCTTCGAATCATTCCCATGTGCCTTCTCGTCTTTCTTGATCTCGTCTTGGATTCGGACATCGTCCTCAACTGATATAACCACCGCATGAGGTCCGTGGGGCCCATCGACTATGGCTTCCCTCACTTTCAAGTGTTCATCGACCTGAACTGTCTCGGTTTTCTCAACCCGTTTCTTGCACTTCATCCTGAACAGGAAACAGATGACACAAGCGAAGAACGCAAGGAACAGAACGCAACCCACTGAGACAAACACCACAACTATGACTGTCGTGTCGTCACCTGGAGTTGGATGCGGGCTGTTGACTGCATTCGAGGATGCCATTGCGTTCGATGTGTCGGGCCTGGGGTTGGAGATTTCTCGGGTCGGGTTTGAAGGAGAGAGGAGATTCGGGTGGCGTATTTGTAGTGATGGGAGAGGGAGGGGGTTGTATCATTGGAGACTGAGAAGAAAAAGGTTGCTTACTAAGATTCTAATGGCTTAGCTCCCATGCTAAGTTTTTTCGGTGTTATAAAAAAAAAATTCAGGGCTTTGTTTGCATTAGAAAACACTTCTAAATAACTTGCTTGCAGTTCTTGTCAAGCTAATCTAAGATACGTATGAATTTAAGAGGCAAAACTTACATGTGATGGAGCATTTAAGGGTTCTTCCTGCTGTTCTCTGATAGCAGGTAGGAAAAGAGAATTTCGTTCCATGTGTCGGGTAGACCCGGTAGACACCAGTGGCTACAGTCGGGAACACTCGGGTTGTCGCTCCATGTCCCGACGTGAGCGTCGCTCCTGAATGCTCCCATAGGCGTCACATGTAGGACTGTCACCGGAACTGACATCTTCCCGACAACCTTTTTTATGATGTCTGAGATCTTGCTTTTGTCCTTCCCTTTGGTTCTGAGGGATGGGGTTCGGGTTACTTTGCACGACTTACGGTTTGAACCACTGTGAACAGGCGATAGGATTAGCATCATCGAGAATGATAGATTTTCTTTCGAACTTTTTCAACTTTGAGTTTACAGAACGAAACCTCCAGTGCGATGGTTCAAACGTGCGGAAGAATATCCGTGTTCTGTTAGTGTTGATATTGGCCTCGACCCAAGATGCCCAGGTTGTTAACGCTGATCTGAATGCAGACATGATTGGCATTCCTAACTTCAGCGATCCGCCTGTCTGAAAGTACCAGCCCCTATCAACAAAAACATGTCAGAAACACTCTTGTCTGATACAACGCCATAAAACTCTTCACTCTTTTGTCCCCATGTGATCTAATGCCACTTAGAGACAATATAAATTTCTGACATAAACAGCATAAAGATTCTACCGGTCCAAGTGTAATTCCGAATCCGAATTTCAAGAAGACGTGATAGCTGCTTAATCACATAATCTGGCAATGGATAAGCGTTCAAAGGATTCTAAGAAATTCACAAACTTACATTTCAAAGAGCTTAGTCGGTGTCCACCAGTGCCCGGAATTGAATATTACAGCATCTGCATTGACCCACTCTCGGCTAATATCGTCTAATTTGTCGAGCATAAGCGCCACTTTGACCCTTTTCGGTGCACGGCTTGGCACAGGGCCAGGCTGCACCAAGAAAACCGAGCGGTAGAAATCAATTGTCAGCTCAAACGAACTAAACCGAACGCCCAAGTGCCTGATCTGCTTGGTGATTTTGTTCCCATTGAGTTCATAAACACTCTTCTTATCCTTAACACCAGTCACCAAGAAACATATCATAGATTCCCATTGCTGTCTGCTCAACGAATCACCGACAAACACAATCCTCTTCCCGCGAAGGGATTCAAGAATTCTGGAAGCACTAAACCTTGGAATATCACAATCATTCGGCTTCCACCTCCATTTCATATAACGATTGTCGCGTCTTCCATTGGATATGCAATTGAATCCACGCTCCAAGAATGGACATCCCGAGGCATTGTACAATGGGTAAGATTCATCAGGAATCCACTTTCCTCGGAAGAAATCACAAGTCCCTACTGGATCAATAGGCTCTGTGACCTTGTGTACATGACTTGCTGCTTCTCGTCGAAGCATTGGATACACGGACACGTAACACAAACCCAAAGCTAAGATGAAGGAAACAACGAATCCGATCCTGATAAACCCATTTACAGACCGGAGAAATTGAATCTTGAAGTGACTCTTTGCCAGTTGTCTGATGGAAAGTACGAGGTTTGGATCAAAACCCATCATCTCAATCACCATAACTTGCACAATGTCGAGCAATGTAAAGGTGATCCGAATGAAGGGTACCTAATTTGAAACCCTAGCATGCAAATATGAAGCCTAACGAGCATAAGAGAAGCTGAAATCTCACGGTTTCTTGAAGTTGGTAGATCGAATGGTCAAACTTCTTGACGAGGACAGAGATTGCGGGTGGAACTCAACTGGTAACAAAATAGAACTGAAAATGAAGGGATCATCAGTGTCGTTTGCTCTGGAACTGATGAAGAGGACATTTGATCAGATGTCTGATAACGACATCTGAACCAAAGCTTGAAAACGGAAAGAGGAAGTTTCTTAGTTTTGTCGGTGGCTTGTTTGAGTTTCTGGTGAAGCAACAGAAGATTAGAATCAGGGACGGTTCATATGCGTGCACTTTGCACACGTGGCGACACCTTATTGGACAAAAAACTCCACGAATCTAAATCTATATCGAGGATGAGCATACATTAACGCTTGTGAGAGGAAAATTTTCTCGATCCATTTTCTCAACAATTCAATATTACCAGAAATTTTTCCTAAAACTGACATGCTTTAACAGATAATCTAAACACACAAGTAGACATGACACATTTTAATTACGATTTAATTCATTTAATTTTTTTCATAATTTTTTTTAATGTCAAGTTTTGATTCGATCCGAAATCTCCTCCAGTTCAATTCTTTTTAACTAAAACATACTCAATATTTTAATTTGGTTTAACCAAAAAAATAGATATATTTCTAAATCGAATTTGGTTTGAATAAGAGCGAGTATTGTCTAGTCAACTTACCGGATATACCCTCTTGGCCTCTTCTTCTCTTGGTACCTTGTCCTTTTTGCACTGAAAATGGAAGTTATCATCAGACAACATTAATCACTTTACTCCAAAAAAAAAACTAACTAAAATAATCCTCTAAACCCAAAGAAATCAAACCAGTTCAAAGAAAATTCCTCACAAAGAGAACATCAGCCATGAGATGATCTTACTACAACTGATCAATGAAAAACAAGAAAATAATCCACAGCCAAAAACCCACTAAAAAGCCTGTTACTTACCAATAAAATTCCCTTTGAACAATCTCTGGATCTTCACTCTTGTAATTGTTGAGGTATAACTAACTGAGCGGTATCAATGGTACTGTAATAGTTACCTAGCTGTTACACATAGTCAGCATTAGAAGCAGAGTCTACGATATGACTATTGATAATGAAATCATCATCAGTTCATAGAGGCCCTTTAGAACTGTCTTGATTTTGCCTGTAACTGGGATAAAAACGTGTGTATGTATTTTTCTTTTTGGTCCAAATCAATCCAGTTTCACCCAGGTGACTTCTTGACTCCATTGTCTCCCATGACTTTCGTCAAAGCATTGGCCTTTTTCCCAATGTCTCTGCGAACGCAAATATGCTCGAAAGAAGTATATAGGCAGCTGAGTTATCTGTTTCCAGTTCTGTGAGCTTTTCAGCAGCCATTTTCCTCCAGTGTTGTCTCAATGAATTGTACAAGCTCCAAGAAGAGATACCCACAATCTTTCATCTGGTGTCAAGTTTGGAATGATCTACATGAGATTTAATCCCTTATTGTGTAAACATCATACCTCAAAAATCCCCTGCCCTTGTGCCACTTTCCCACCATGGTTGCACACTGTAAGGACACCTAAGAACGTTACATCATCATGCACAATATGGGCTTGCCCCAATGCACTAATTATATTAAGGGCATCATCTGCGTAAGCGTTTTTTGCAAGTCCATCAATCATGGAGTTCCAGGAGACAACGTCGTTTTTAAGTCTCATATCATTAGAGACCTGTGTTGAACTTTTCATGTCTCCACATTTAGCATACATGTCTATGAGGGAGTTAGAGGTCAATTCATCCAACTCAAAAACAGAGCGAAGGCAAGAGAACAAATTCTTTTAGAGAGGAGAGGACGGAACACACAAGCAGATCACTGACTATAGAACTGTTATAATGCATTTCTCTGTAGAACCGCAAAGCCTCCTTTTGGAAGCCATTCTGACTACACCCTGAAATCATCTCGGTCGGTAACATGGTGATCTTAGGAATTGAGAATACCGAGAAGAGACCACGAGCCTCTCTCACTCTGGGTAATTTCATGTACAGGCCCAATAGAGAGATGACTAGGTATATTCTTCATCATACAAAATACCCCTCTTAATTATCTGACAAGAATCTAGAAGGGCAGCAAAAGTTATCTCAGATGGGTCACAGCCTCTAGCTAACATCTCTCGGAACAGAGATACAGCTTCTTCTAAGTTGTCCTGGGAATAACCACCAATCAGAGCATTCACGGCCACCAAGCTTCACTCAGGCAAAGAATAGAGAATTCTACGTCCATCTTCAATGACCCAACACTTGGCATACATGTCTATGAGCGAGCTAACTGTATAGAGGCTTGTTTCTAAATGAAATTTGAACTTGCTTTCCCTGGTGAAGACCCTGAAAATTTGGGCATGCGTTTAGCATGCTAACCAAGCAGGGTTCATCAGGAAACATACTGCACAGTGCTCATCCTTTTGAACAAGTTGAAAGCCTCAATCTAATCCTCTTCTTGGTAACAAAAGCTAAATGGTCAGGCCAATAACCTAGATTCCAAATCTTTACATATACTCTCATGGCCTCCTCAGGTAACCCTATTAGGTTCCATTATCTAAATGAACACCCGATGAGCATCACCCAAAGATTAATACTTGGCGTACATATCAACTAGAGCACCACCACAAGATGAACTGGATTCAAGCCACATCTTCACCATGCTGCAATGAGTTTGTCTGCCGAACTGTACATCCATCTCCGTCGAACAGGATGATAGGGCAATCCAGAAAGTGAATTAAGTTGGCGAAACCTGGATATCAAGCAATGACACGAACAACTTTAAAACCTGCCCTGCATGACCGATCCTGAAATACATCGATAGAATCTGAGTTCCACAGAGTTGCACCCCTTTCTGAGTATTTGAAATGCCTTCTCAGGAGAACCCACCTCAACAGACTTGGCATACAAATCTAAAATGTAACTGGATAACCTAACCTTCGGATCGAACCCTAGTATCAAGCTTAGGGCAGGGACGGCTTTCCCAGTTCTCAAGGCCCGTTCAAGCCCTGAGGCATTTCGTCGAACAACTTGCGACCCTTAGCTTTTCCGCATTGTTTCAGAGAATACCCCAATAGACGACTATACATATGATCTTTCCTACGCAATATATGTCTATAGCTATGAAGAATCGAACTTTGGGATTCGATAAACTTGAGAGACATCGAAAAAAAATACATGAATCCAGCTTCGACCGGAGAACAGAGGAATCTTGCCGACACTAGAATTGGGGACTCAGATCCTCTTTTATCCACGAGAAATCCAAGGAATTCAACTTCGCAAGATTCACCCAATTCGAAGAACTGCAGAGTGAGATCTCTGTTTTGGCGCCAAAGCATCAAATCTTTCAACCGTTACAGCCGGGTCGAACCCCACGGGAAAAACCCGACCCGGTTTGCACCCAGACTGAAATTGAACGTTGAGAATTTAGGGTTCTTAAACAAAATTATTTACGAAAAATTAAACGGTGTCGGACTATTTTAAATTAAAATTTTTAACTTTAACACATTGTCACCTTTCTCTCCGCTAAAATTTTTATAGTATCTAATTTTTCAAACTTTTTACTAGAAAAAAAACCTAATAGAATATATTATGATCCACTAATTTGCATTTATCCAAAAAAGATGAAAAAAATATTAAATTTAAATTATTAAGTAGAATAAATTGAAAAAGATATTTATCTTAAAATTTTAAAAAGAAAGAATAGGAATTTTTTTTATCAAAAGTATGAAAAATCATTAAAAATAAGTTTTATCCAAATAAGTTAGATAGATTATTAGTATATTTATTAGATAATAAAAATTGAAAACAAATAGTAAAAATTATATAGAGAAGTGTTATGTTTTGTATTTCTCCATTATTGACTCAATTTACTTCTTTAAATTTAATTATTTGATTATATTTAATAATATAAAAATTTACTCTATATATATGTATATATTAAATAATTCTAATATATGATAATAGAGTGTCAAAACTTTTAAATTATAGGATGGAAAAATTTAAAGTCAAAATATTAATATCTTCTTAATAGTAATTTGTATATTTGATTAAAAGTAGTTTTTAATAATGTTAATTTTTTGTAATTGAATATTAAATAATTGAAATTAATTTTAAAATTATTTTTAGTCGTATTTTCAAATATTGTAATTTTAAAATCTAAAAAAGAGAAATCGTTATTGGACCAAGGCCCTGTGATAGCCAGCTAAAATTTAACGGGGTTGTAGCATATTAATTATTGGAATTACTGAGGAGGTAGGAAAGGATCCTCGAATAAAATAAAATAATATTCCAATTAGTTTTTTTAGATTTTATTTTTTATTTTCTATTTAAATAATTGTACGTTTTATGTAGTTTTTTTTTCCAATGTTTTTAGAACCTCTATGGTTGTAACAATATGGTAGAAGCTAAAATAATGGTAAATTTTCTATGATAATTGGATCTTAGTTTTTATTTCATATTTTTATCATGTAATTTATAACTATATATCGCATATTACAATGATTAAAAGTTAACACATTAAATTGATTTTAATATTATTTTTTTATTATATAAATTAAAAAAATTATAATATGCTGTGACCCCCAAAATTTGTAGGGGTGTAAATAAAATACGAAGCCACACACGCGTCGGCTTAGTTGCTAATTGGCCACGTGAGCTGCATGTGATTAACCTCGGCGAAATAAAAGTTCGCATCCTGCATTTTAATTTGAAGTTACCTACCGATTTAAAATTTTAAATGGGCCTAGAATTCGTACAGCCCCCGTAATTAAATTTCGGCGTGTGGTGTAAATATACATCACATATATATATATATATATATAGGAACGTGCAGGCTATATTTTCCCTGGATTAAATTCTAAAATTAATAAAATATAAAGTTTAATAATAGTTCGCAGAATATCTTTGGCCAAAAAAAAAATGTAAACACTAAAACCAAGTGTTTTCAAATAAATTTTTTTCTAAATAATAATAATTAACTTTTTCATAGAGTTTCAAAAACTAATACTTGATCAATACGGCATTGCTTTCAATAATCGTACTGCAAAAATGTACTATTACTTTAAATAGCAAATTAACGTCTGAAAATAGGAAGATTTTGTAATTATGTGTCTCTACAGATTTGGAATATATAATTGGTAAGTCATATTTTGCATATTCGAGTTCATATATTAATATTCGATAATTGTTTATAATTTTACAAATGACAAAGGGTTATTTATATTTATGTATATGGCCTTAGATTATGATGAGTGACGACAAAATTCTACAAACACGAGATCGTTACACGTTAATTACAGTAACAAAACACGAGTTTCGCATTTCACTTGTAAGACCCTCTTGTCGCCCCCCCCCCACCCCACACGTAATATTATTATAAATTTCTGTATTTAAAGTTGGGGAAAACTTCAACTAATTAATTGATACGATAATTAACTGAATCTCCATTTTTCTAAAAAATACTATGCAAGTTGAATAAAAAAATATGGTATTATATTTATATATCTTTTTACAGATTATCAAATTGTGATCTATAATTCACGCACCAATAATAATTGACACATAGTAATATCGTTGTTTTTTTAAAATATTGATGTATGGTGACCATAACAGATTTAAGATTTCTTGTGTTCAAGATTATAAGATTTGAGACGTTTTGTATAGCAAAAAAAAATATTTTAAAAAATATTTATCTAAAATTAAAGATATTTTGTTTTAAAATTAAACTAAATAAATACTGTTACAGGATACAAATATATAATTTAAGAATCGCTAATGTCTTTGTATTAGTCATTTATTTTTTTTATAGTGAATTTGATTCGGTTCAAACAAATTTTCTGGTTTTCCGTTAATTTTTTATTACATTCGCCTTTTGGTTCCCTTTCACTTATTCGGTTTTAGAAAAATCATAAATTATTCAGTTTTTATATTAAATTCGGTTCCGGTTAAGAATCGGTTCAATTATTCGATTATTAACCAAATCGGTAAACCAACACAATTCGAATAACACACATCATTTTCCGACCTTTTTAATGCCGTTGCCCTAACGAACCAACAATCTCAAGGAAAGGAAAAAAAAAAAAAACAGACTTTCTTCTTCGTTAGCCATCAACGGAATGACGAGTTGTGTTGGGCAATCGCCGGCCGCTCACGAAGTTACTGAACAGATGCAGAGCTCTCGAAGGCTGCGCATACGGCACCATATGAGCAGCCCCCCTTACGGTTGCGAACGTCAGTATATTCCCGTACTCTGTCGCCCATCCACCCACCTATATTCATCGAGAGAGGAAAAAAACGATCTGAATTCCGGGTTTTGATCAGAATCTTGGTTAAAGGGTGATCGATGTATTCAACTACCTGGCCTCTGTGAAACCAAGCTCCGTACGGTACCGTGATCTTGAAGCCGAGCTCGTGAGCTAGTTCGCGTACGAGTGTTCTTGAGCCGAGAAGCGGAACTACGGAATCTTGGTCGCCACTGCGACACAGCGAAACCCGCGTTTAGAAGATGAAACTTTGCGTAGAGTAGAAGAAGGAGAAAAGAGGAAACCTTTTAAGGTCTACCTGAAGATCCAAACACGGATTTTGTTCTGTAAAATCCTCTTGAGAATCGGGAGCATGTTTAGATTCCCGTCGGTATCGCTGTAATTCAAGTGCCTGCAACATAACAAGAGAACGACCGGTGGATTTTGGACCGACGGAGAAAAGAATCTAAACTTCAGTAAGATCAAACAGTTATGTTTCAGTAACTTAACTTCGAAAGATTGGTTACGGCGACATTTCATCATTTTCTGAAAACCGAAACCGAAAAAAAAGGCTTAGAATTTTGAATCAAAGTTGCGAAATTTACCGGCTGCACATGGACCATGGGTAAGGCAGACGAGTCCGGTTAGCGTGAAGAGCGGCTTGAACCTCGGGAAGATTGAAATAGAACCGTCTTTCGTAAGTCATACACACGTCAACTCCCAAACTCATCTTAGTAGCCTGACCACGACGACGTTATAAGTCAATCCATATGCTATAACACTGAAAAAATGCTCGTAGAAGGCAAGAAAACGATCTGAAAATATTCAGGGCGAGAAATTGTTTTCTTTCTTCCTACCATTTTCTTGAGCCTAAGCTCTTGCTCCACTATAGAAGGGTAGCAGACATCGAGGAGAACATCGTAGTAGTTTACGTGATCAGAGACGATGCTTTCAACTTCGCTTAGAGCGTCATTGCAGCTCTTGCTCTCGTTATGGGGACTGGCGAATGTGTAATCCTCAAAGTCGCATCGGGTCATGATAGTGAGGCCGAGTTCATCAGAGATCATCCCGTGTGACCAAAAGAACTCGTATATAGCTGGAACGTCTCTGTCAAGCTTCAGAAGCGGATTCCCGATCTGATAAAAAGACAAATCTGAATCAAACCGAGGCACGGAGAAGAAATACAATGGAGGGTTTTCGGGTTTTTCTGCTTACCGCGATGCCTTTGACATTGAACTTGAACCCCGTGGAGCGAGCATTGTAGTTCAGTATCACTTCAGCCAGCTGAGGAATATAATGTCCTGCGTGCCAAGAGAAGAATCATATGATCTGTACCGAAATATTCATGTTTATCATCAATTGCATACCTGCATAGCTTTCTCCGGTGAGAAAGAGATCGCGGGATTTGAACTCGGGAAACTTCTTGAACCATCTCAGCAAGAACACAAGCATATCCTTTGCTGTTTAAAATTCAAGAAACTGCAGTGGCTTAGCATGGAAAAGTGATAAAGAAACGAGTGTATTCTCAGTCAAAATCGATCGTAAAGATCTGAAAAAATTACCGGTAGTGGCGTCGCCGGTGGTGTAATCGGAGGTCTTGTTGGAGTAAGACCATCCAACTCCGGCAGGCGATTCCACAAACAACAAATTCGAGGCTGCGGTAGAGAAACGGAACAAAAGGACAAAACATAAGCAGATAAGGAAACTGCATCAACCAGCGTACTAAAATAGAATCACTGTCTGTTTCCCTTCCAGAAATTACAGTGGTCTCAAGATTTTACAGATTGTTAACGAGGAATCTGAATTTTTTTTACCTTTGTTCCAAGACATGGAATTTCTGCGAAGGCCACGGCCATCGCCTGTGGGGTAAAATGGACCAAGCTCAGTAAATGCTCCTCCACCGATCGATGAACAGCCTGGTCCTGCAAAGAATTCATACCACAGAGCATGTGAATTCTCGATTTCATGTTTTCCAGATTCGTAGTTCAGTTCCCAACGCCAGAAACTGCAGAGATTCACGTGGATGATCCGAGAAACTTCACATTCATTTAAGAAAAAGATCGATTTTTTTCAACACCCAGATGCCAGAAAAGCCATAGAATTCAGACAAAACAACCAAAACATATCAATGCTGCAGAAAGCAAAAGCCTCGACTCAAGAAATGACACTCAGAGTCGAAGAACTCGATCGAACAGTAAGAGCAACAAGAGAGACAGAGACAGAAACAAGTACCAAACAAAAAGAGAGAGAGAGAGAAGAGACCTCCGTTGAGCCAAAGGGATAAGGGTTTTTCGTCGGGTTTTTTCTCGGCTTCGACGAAGTAATAGAACAGGCTTCGACCAGATTTCAAATCGACGTCGACATACCCGGCGAATTGTCTGAACTGGACATCTGGCTGTCCGGGCAATTTCACCACCAGATCTTCTTCTGGGTATGCCTCTGCGAAATTACCATAATACCCCCACGACCACACCTTCAACACCACCACCAAGAACCAGTGGAAGAACCTATCCATTTTCTCACTCCTCTTCTTCTTCTAACCTTTTTTTTTTTATCTTCCACTGGGTTATGTGCGTTCTTATAAGAGCTCATGTAATGTAATATTCGAAGAGTTAAAAAGAAAAAAGTGAAAAAAAAAAATCAAAACTAAAAGCATCAGAAAAATACATAAAATTATATGTAGAGAGAGAAATGATAATAAAGTATGAAAAGTATATTCGTATATATATACGAGAGTAATTACATCACGAGCGGAAGAAGTGCATGCTTTGTTTATTTATATTTTGTTTAATAATTTAATAACAGCTAGGTGTTCTTTTGATAAAACTATTTTATATTGCACAGATTAAAAAATGGTTAGAATCTAAAAAATAATTAAATACTTTTAATAATTATAACTTAGAAATTCCTTTTTTGATAAATTTTGTAGAAAACCAGTAGATTTTTTTTTTCCATCGATAATTTTGTTTATATAGATTTCGAATGACATCGAAATCAATTGCAAGGATTTTTAGTGAGGGAAAGTGATACATAGTTAAGAAAATTTATTTATCGAATTCAAAGAGTTATATTATGAATTTAAATAGCTAATAGTATAAGGTTGAATTTATTTGTATAAAAAATAAAAAAAATCATCACAATACTCGATCTTAGAGATTTCGTGAGACAAAATTGTTGTGTACTTATCTTACCGGCGTCAAGATCATCACATCACCATCACCATGCATGATCAATAACATCACGTATAAAATGATCATCATATCATCATGATCATTAACATCACGTATACAAATGACATCCAATATCATTGTGGTTTATCTTCTCTATAGAATTTACTAAACAACTTATGCAACCAGTTTAGACAGTTTTTTTTTTCTTTTAGATGATAACCGAGAGGTAAACTATAAATTCGGTCTAAGTAATCTCCTAAATCCGGAGACATTCTTTAGTGCAAATACACACCTCATCCCCGCCTATAGACCTCTAGAGTAGATGGTACACTTTCAACGTATTTATCGATTTCCATTGAAAGTTTCAACGGTTTTCCAATGAGATATTTCTGTTGAATATTTTTAACGGATGTATTCGTTAGAAATAGTTTGAACGTTAGATTTCATCGACGTTCGACAATTTCAACATCCATGCGTTATCAACAGAAGGCCGTTGAAAATAAGTGTGGGTATCTATTGAAAAAGATGTTGATATTTTTCAACGGTCAATGCATTTTGTAGTGCTCAAGTGGGTACCAGTCTTCGAGCACAATAAAATCATACTAGGTAATGGTTTAATCATCTATTATGTGCATTAATGGATTCAAAGTTCAATCTAGAAAAAGCAAAACCTAATGTCATGAATATTAGCTATAAATTGTTTTTTGAATGGAGTCAAAGTGCCAACAAAAAGAGACTCCCCTTGGTTATAGCCGGTCCATGCGTTACTAATTAGTAATTATTAATTATAAACTTAATCAATTTGTTTGTTGGCTACCGTTAATAACTTTTATCTAATATATATTCATAGACTTATCCATAGGGATCCAAGCCCGTCTTGGGACTCGGAAAAATATGTACCTAAAAACATATTTTAGTTTTCTTTTTTTTTTTGTAGATATAAATTATATTTTTCTATCTTTAGAGTTATGAAGGCATAGGCATAGCAATTAGTAGTGACCCAAAAACTATATATAATATGATTAATCATGCCGACAAATAAATGCCTTGAAGATATTAGAGGAGCATGAAGACTAGGTTTCATAATATGGTGAAAGAGCTTGAGAGAGAGAGTTTGGCAGTACATACATGCACATGCGTGTTAGAAAGTTGTACGCTAAGTGCTAACGTTAACGATGGTTTTAGGTCAAATATTTACGTTGGGTTAAATATATTTTATTAAATTCCTTTGGGCGGGAAAGAACACACAAAAAAAACCAATTTTATTTTGGGATGTATTTTCTTTTTTATTTTCTACATATTATAAAGTTGTACGCTAAGGTTAAGGTTGGTTTAGGTCAAATTTTTACGTTGAGATAATATATTTTATTAAACAATGACGGAAGAAAAAGTATGGATCGAAGCATGCTTTTTAAGGATGACGACGACGACAGAACATAGAAAGATTCAAATAAAGTGAAATGCCTTAGAAATGTGTTTTTGGAACATCCCATCAAATATACAAAAAAATAACGATGGGGTTTTTCCAATTTTATATCTTATGATTAATTACTTAATTCCATTATAGTCGTTGTTGTTACGATTAGTATAATGTGTTGAATTAGAATATCATTTCGATTTCTTGTTTCAATTTTAAATAATGTATAAATGTGTTTTTATCTTTCACTCCATATCTTTTTTTTTTTTTGGTTAACTTTTCACTCCATATCTTTGACTCGGTCTCCAATCTTTATTACGATTTAATGAGTAAAAAAAATTCTCTCTTAAAATTGCAGATAGAAAAATACACAAGAAAGAATTTTTTTTTATAATATGGAAGTTCACGGGTTCATTGACCCAACTACATCTCCCGAAAAGAAAAGACGGAAAAATTCAGGTGAATATCTCTCTTCACGTTTGGATTTAAAACCAGAATAAAAATATATTTGATATGTTCTCTTACCACTAAACCATCCAAATTTAGATATAAGAAAGAAATGTTATATAATAAGAATGAAACTTACATGTGAATCATTTATGTTTTATAATGATACATTATAATTTATCTCGGAAACTGAAGACGCATAGAAAATAAATAAATAAATGGCAATTGCTTAACATATTTAGTAATTCCATTGAGGTATTTGAAGATTAAGATTTCAAAATTTTGTTTGCCATTTAATTAATTGAATTGAAATCTATTTGTAAATATTTAATATATATATTCGTATAATTATAATGTACTCGGTAGCTAAAATATATTTGTATTATTTCTATATTGGTTTTATTTAACTATAGTGATTAGATTTATATCAGTATTTTATTATTTGTTTGAACATTTTTATGATATAAATATAGAAATCTTTCATTTGAACAATACAACATACGTACAATTTTTATTTAAAAATTATTTAGTTAGTATGATTTATAGTTCGTGAATAGATTTATACTAAACATATACTCCATCCGTTTAGTTTTATTTAAAAACTACTTTAAACACGCGTATTAAGAAATAAATTATTTTGTCTAAAACACCCTTATTTAATGGGTAGATTATAGATAGTTATTATCGTGAAACATATCTGCTATTATTGACAAGAGATAAATTTGGAAAACCATATAAAAAATTATATTGAAAATCTAAAAACTTTATTTATTTTGAAACAAAAAGAAATATGCTAAACCGTTATATAAAATTAAACGTGGAGTAATGAATTCCTCTATATTAAATTGTTTGCCATCACAGAAAAAGAAGAAAAGGCAACAAGAAAAAGCAAATTAAAGAAAATAAGTCATTTTAGTCACATGCATATTCACTCACGAGTACCTCAAGACAATGATGAGGAAAGCTTTCGGTTGGCAAACTCCGAACTATTTGTTGACATATTGATTCGATAATGGCATCTAACGGTGACATCGTTAACGTATATACAGCTCAGATGCGAAGCTTCCTTCGTTGGATCATAACGTTTATTTTTTTATAAATATTTTTTATTTTTCGAATATAATTTTTTATTATTTCTGTATTTGATATGAATTCATTAAAATCATTTGAAAAATTATAACTAATCAGTCCATAATATAATTCAATTAAATATTATTCAGGGGAGGGTTTATAATAAAACCAAAATACCTATATAGCATTCAAATTCAATTGATGACGTGACGTTGAATATACTCGCGTAAGAATTTTTTTTTTTTGAAAATTTAGCCAAAAAGGACATTGGAAAAAAGATCATTTAAAATTTACCAAGATGATCAAAATTGACCAATACGAGGATACTAATGGGCCTTAATTGGGCTGAAGCCCATAAACATGTGAAACGAAAGAGGTCACGCTTCTTTCCTATAAATACACTCTGCAACGCCATGGACGACCGGTACCCTTCTTTTCCGGATTAGGGTTTTCAATCGTTTGATCAAAAAGTGTATTTCTCACGTCGTTCGTCTACGATTTTTCCCTGGTTCTGTGTTATTTCTGCGGAAGTATTCAAATTTATCCATGGGTTTACTCTTTTTTCGCTTCCTTGGGGTTGTTCTTCATTTTTCTAGGGTTTTGGGAAATTGGGGGCGATGACGAGCTATTTGAGAAAAGTCATGCACCACTCTGATGGAGATTCGTATGGATCTCGTGCTGATATATTTCTCTACCCATATTTGATCTGAGCCTTCTCATTCTCGTTTTGAATCTTTTTTTTTTTTTTTCGTGAGAGAGATTTTGATTCTCATGGATTGAAAAGTACGAGTTGAAGGGGAAACCAGATGATGGGTCATTTTGACCAGACCATGATGCGGACTGTATAGCTTTAATGCTTATGAGGACACCTTTTGGTTTCTGATGGTTTCCCATTTCTGTATTCGTACATATATATGTATATATATCTGTATATCCATTTCAATCTCTCGTATTTTGAAAGCCGAGACAGAGCTTGTATCTGTCTAAACAATGAACATGACCAGAGAAAGCTGTCTTAACAGAACAGGACAAGATCTGTGATCCCCGCACATTCACAATTCCCTCCTCACAAAGAGTGATTACTATTTTATCTTCCATGGATCATAATCTGATTCTGATCAGAAGCTTCATTTGATCACTGATTTTGATCATAATCTGAAGGAAATGTTTGAAAATGTAAACTACTAGAGCAAACAATAGAACCCTTCAAAAAAAAAAAGACAAGAACATGATTTAGATACATTTTCAAACATTGACAATCACAGAGAAAAAACATATAGTTTCTTCAGATTATGATCAGAATCAGTGATCAAATGAAGCTTCTGTGTACAAGGAACAAGCTTTTCTTATCCAAAAGAAAAAATCAAGAACATGATTTGGATACACCTCAATGATGATCCATATGAGACCATAGTAGAGGAGAAGGCATAAGAAGCTCAATCCCAAGCAAAATGTGCCCCACTTGCCACTGTCAAGGTAAACCACAGCAACAAAAAAAACTGGCCGTAGTCTCTGTTACCTTTCTTGACAGATGCTAATAAGCAAAACACTATACAGAACCCTGTTGATTCTCACTGTTATGCACAAAATGATAGAACGAACGTGTATGGATTCTATCGGAGTAATAGGTTGCCGCTACTTCGAATCTCCTAACTATGGTCTTTCTAGGGACTGGAAGGCCTCCAAAATGATCAAATCTGTAGTGAACACTAGGTAGAATCCGAGAGAGTAGAAAGCCAAAACCAACACAAACAAAACTATAGAAGACTCCTAACGTAAGACAGACCTTAAAAATCTGTAGACTATCGGCGTTATCCTCTCGTCTAAACGTCCCCAGGATTCATCAAACAATCCAGAGACTTGTCACAAAACTTTCCGAGTCATTGTTTGTTTCCCTGTGTTAACCTTCTCCGGATGGTAGTGACTGATGCCGGAGAGCTTGTTTTCCCCTAAAGGCACCCCACAGGAAGAACTTTGACTGAAACCCTGTAGAGAAAAATATCATCCTCAGTAGATTTAACGGATGATAAACTTAATGGATCGATCTACAGTGAAATGTCACGCGAATGGTAAAAAGATATGTCTCAAGTATAAGGTGATGCAACTTACTCCAAGATTGCATCGGCAACATGTACGAGCTGAAAAGTATGAGTTCTGCATTGTCAAGCACAATTCTCATAGCAAGATCCTTCTCTATTATTTCATCAACTAGGGCATAAAAAACCTTTTCATCACTGGAAACAAAAAACGAAAAGGTAGAAACTTTGCAACATTAGCGGCGACATATGAACACAGATTGACAGAAAGCAACCAGACTTCAGACAGATCATTGCTACAGTATCTAACCTCGGACCAGAAGGGAAGAAAAAAAGACCAATACTTTCATCAGTAGGGCCTCCACTCCTTAAAAAGCTTTGTGGCCATATATCCAACCTAGGAAAGATTTCGGCACAAAGGCATCTGGGTAATGATTTAGCAGCATCATGGACTTTAAGACATGCTATGGATGATAAATGTGCAACAAGGATAACGCTCCCAAAGGTCCCTAGATTAGCAGATAAAGATCCCCTGTAAATTTTTACAAAATAGATCAGAATCCAAGTGAATCATAAAGTTGTCAAGTCATATTGAGATTTGAGAGGAATATGCTGTACAAGGGACATAAATATAGTCCTTTACCTCCAAACAGGTTCAATGATTGGCTGCACTCTGACATCTCTATTGGGTTCTGTAGTGTTCGAAGATATAACTGCCAACCCTTCAGAGAGCGGTGGTGTATGTGATTCAGCCTCCTTGCAAGAGGTTTCTCTGCTGGTTAGTTGTCTATTATCACCACGGAGCTGCCTACTGGACTGACCAGTTATGGCTCCTATAGGAGTTCTAGTTGTAGAAGAGCCGAACCCTTCACGGCTGCTGCCTGTAGTTGATTTCCTTTGTCTATTATTGGCAGAAGAATCATGACCTGCCATCCTAGAGGTAATACCGGCTGCCAAGCCAGAAGCTTCGTTTCTTTTCAAACCATATAATTCTTGATGTCTTCCACTACCTAAGCTCCCTTCTCTTCCAGAGTCCTTTGGTGTTTCATGAATTGATGAAGAACGCACGGCCATAGGTTCCACGTTGGTGCCCCTTTTGAGTGTATGGTCCTCAACTCTTGCCAACCTTCTATTTTTTTTGTTCTTCTCGGCCAATCTCGGATCCTTTTTCTGCTCAATCTTCTTCAGAATAGATCCAAGCTTCCCAGTCTGGTCAATTTCTACTTTCTCAGAGCCAATTTCACTTCGATCACAGTCCGGGCAGAACCAAGTTATGTACTGCTTGAAATCTCTTGGAATCCTCTCTAAGCAATAGCTGGACAAGAGAGCAAAGGGGTATAAGCACAAGGGCCAGAGAGACAAGGCAAAGACCCGGTAAACAGACTCAGAAATGATAAGCTAACAATGAAAGTGAATGCGATTATGTGTTATGAGACAACTAATTACAGTAAAGCTCCCCCACTGTGCAGGCAAAACACGATCTTTTCATTACAAAACATGAGCGAATCTAGGACGGAACTCACCGGTGAACAGCATAGACCTCGCACGAGTCGCAATATATTAATGCTTCTTCATAACCGCGGTCACCACAAACCAGACAAACAGTTACCTGGAAAGAAAAGAAAGCAACATATTATAACCTCGGATTCTTCCAAGAAAGCCGCCTAGACAAATCCCTCACTCCATAGCTAAGCAAATGTTAGCTTCCCAACAAGAACTCGAAACACAAGGTAGCCAAGACGATCCCAAAAAAAATCTTTTTTTGGGTGAATAAAAATGTCATGAACAACAGCATCGGAAAGGGAAATTCCAACAAAACCCAGAAAAAAACCGTCAAATACAGAACGGAGAAAAGGGTTAGAAGTTCGGCATAGAGATGAAAATCCACGAAACACCGCAACCCCTAAAACCCAATCATGGTGATCACAGGCGAAATACAGAGAGGGGAAAGATAGACAGTTACCGACCATGTCACCGAGGAATACGCAGAAACCTCGGAGGAATCCAGGATTAGGGTTTATCTGCGCCTGCCGGGGGCTTACAGTGCTCAGAAGACGCCGTCGCCTCGAAGCTCAAAACTCCGGCCGATCACCACCGCGTCGAAACCCTAAACCCTTCGCTCCCTCTCTGTATCAATGTCTTCATACCGAGTGAGGGCGAGAGATTTCTTGCTGAAAGGATCAGTGTGTATGGATGTTCTTTATTTCTTTTTGGGGGGTTTTTGTGTTCGAATCCTCAGTTTTTCGAAAACAAAGAGGGAAAGGATGGGTCGGCCCCCGCATCACACGCGCCTAAACCAAAAGCGCGTGGACGGTTTTATTTCTTTCCCGTGGCACGGTCACAGTATGTTATTCCAATTTTATATATTTTTAATATATAAACAAATTACAATTTTGCAGAAAATTGTTTCTGGAATGTATTTCTTCGTAGAGGAAGAGAGGGAGAGTGAGGGAGCATAGTTTTTTTTTTTTTTGGTTAACCAATTTTACTTTATTTTTATCACAACCAACATATATAGTCTTTGATTGACTCGCCAATCTAATTATGTGTGAATCCTTGTCCACCCCACTTGTCATTAATTAAATAAGAAAATTTATTAAGAGAATTTTACGTAAATTTCGTTTTAAAAAAATATATAAAAACAAATTGCCGTGCTAATTTACAAGACTTCATAACATTGGGAAAACTTACCTTTTCGCACCGGATTGTATTCTCAATCGCCAAATTAAATGCATTGGGGCACGACGGGTATTAGTTTATAGTTTGTTTAGATCGACTAATTATCCAATCGAGTGTGCAATAATTTTAACCCCGGGGTGTTCGTTCGATCATAATTGTGGTAAAAATATTAACAAATTGTTCGCAAAATAAAGAAATAAATTTAATGTTCGCAAAATTCATTATAAAAGCAGAAGTAAAAATGTTACGTGAAACCGGATGCTTTTTTTTTTTGTTAATGCGTGAAACCGATTACTTTAGAGATTTAATAAATAATTTTCGTAAAATCTTTTTCGACACAGAATCTTATGAATAAGAAGAAAAATGCCTTGTTTCTTATGAAGAAGAAGAAAAATGCCTTATTTAACAAAAAAAAAAAAAAAAAAAAAAAAACCCCTGTATTAATGTATGTCCTACTTGCATGAGTTCGAACTCCAAATGACTCCAACATTTGCGCCACTTTATTAATATTTCTATTAAGGAACAAAAACACACACACACAAAAAATCACAGACTTACTAAAACTAAATTCTACATTTTAAATTGTTTAATTAAAATTCTTAACAATAAAAATAAAGCAAAAAAGACAAAGAGGCAGAAAAACGTCTTCCATTTATCTTACAAGGACAAAAAACCGGAACATCTTCTATTTATCTTATATATTAAATTCTCTTAGTTGTAACTAAACATCTTCGAGGAAGGTGACATTTGCTATTTTTCCGCCGTCCGAAAATCCCCCCTTTGCTCCCAAAAAAGAATCACAGACTGTATATAACTTACTAAAATTAAATCCTAACGACCATAAACAGAAGAATACTACTTATCAAACCTTTAAAAATTTAGTCGCTCCCATTCCGTGTTTTTTCTCAGGAAACCGTAATTTTGATAACATACATTTATAATAAAATATATTTTGAATTGATTTGCAAAATATAGATATCAATAAAAAAAAATCTACATCTATTTTTATATTTTTTCAAAATTTGAAGTTTCAATTGAAGTTGTAGGTAAAATTAAATATTTTCTGAATGTTTATTAAATATTGTGATTTATTTGTACATGGTTCGTAAGGAACTAAGGATTTCGTGGTCGTTTGCGTCATTTCCGGCTACGGAAAGATTTCACGTATTTTTTTTAAAATGGGTTTACCTATTTTATTATTTTGCCTCCAACCGAGAAAAGCAAACCAACCCAGTTTAAAAGCATAGAAACCGACCCGACAACCCGATAAACATATATATATATATATATATATATATATGTTCTTAGGAGTAGTATATATATGTGTGGCCTAACCTTGTATAATTTTTAAATTACAAAAACATTATTTACCATTGGTTAATTTTTCTCTGTATGGTACTATTTATAACAATGGCTTTTTGAAGTTTTCATCAAAAATTTCTATCAAATTTTTTTTTTTTTTGGTTAAAGGTGCTGTTATCACAAAAGTTTTCATCAAACGTCAATAATAATATTGTTTTTTAAAAAGCGGTGCCTAGTTTTTTTTTGTTAAAATGTGTATTTGTATTGATATATAATAATCAAGAGTAATACAAGGAGGCTCCGTATATATATCTACCGTCCAGGGAAGGAGGGAGGGAGAGAGAGAGGGGTGTGTGTGTATATAGAGAGAGAGAGAGAGATAGAGAGAGAGGGGTGTGTGTATATAGAGAGAGAGAGATAGAGAGAGAGAGAGGGAGATGGAAGGAGGAGGAAGACGAAGGGCGGAAGATACGAGTCTGACATGTTACTGCTTTCTGGTATGCGTAGCGGCCGCTGCTTGCGGTCTGATGGCTGGCTTCAACATCGGCGTCATCGGTAATTTTCCTCGGCTTCTCCCCTTCTTTCTTTAGAACACATTTGAACTGCCTGCGGCAACAATTCCGACGTTGGTCGTGAGCAGGAGCTGCCTGTTCTTTCTTGTTTGGTCTGTGTGTTCCATGGCGATGACAGCTTCCCTCTCTGTTCTTTTCCCCATTTCCATCTCTTTTCCTTCGAGTTGAGATGCGAAAGAGCCTGAATTTTCTGAAAACATAATTTCATCGTAAGTTTCAGAGGGACACAAATATGAGTCGTCCTGTCTTTGTGATCGAAGAAACAACAAGATCTGAACTTCACTAACAAAATCAAGGAATGATATCAGCATTCCGGCCGTTTATTATGATGCACAGGAAAGAAAAAAAAAACTTCTTCAGTCCATTTGTAATTTTTTTTTTGTTAACTAAAAAAAAAAAAAAACCGGTGCCAAAAACCGTATTCGGCTTCATTGACGATTGTCGCATGGATCGGCAGGGGGTGTGGCGTCGATGCCATCTTTCCGACAAAGATTCTTTGCGGCCAACGCAAACACTTCCTGCGACTACGACCCGAGCATTGCGGCAAAGGTCACGTCGGCTTTCTATGCGGCCGCTCTGTTCTCGTCCTTCCTGCTTTCTCCATTAGTGAAGCGTAAGTTGGGTTGCAAGGTGTCGATGGAATCCGGGTGTGTATTGGTCGCACTCGGAGCTCTCTTCAGCTTCTCAGCTCAATCTCTATGGATGCTTGTCATTGGTAGATGCTTTGTCGGCATTGGTCTGCGACTCCTTCGTCAGGTACTCTGTTTCATTACTCAAACTACTCATTTATATAAGTGTGATTTTAAATTGGATTTGTTTGCGGATAATGATTTCTCTTGGTGGGTATGTCCATGTTGCATATAGATTCACTTTGGACAAAGGATTTACCAATGACAAGCATCCATCGAGATTAGCTTACATATCAATAAGCGCCTAAGATTCATGACCGAAGCGACTAAAGATTTCACACACTGCGATTAATATGGATCAAATAATTAGATGGTCTTGTGATTCCATATTATGATGTATAGAACTATTTGGTTTTTGCAGTCTGTACGCCAATACGTATCCGAGATGGCGCCATATCGCCATAGAAGAGCCCTAGGCATGATGTTCAAAGTGTTCATAGCAATGGGGAGAGTTATGGCCGCAATTGTGAACTACTCGTTCCACGGGATCAAAGGAGGATGGGACTGGCGGCTTAGCTTCGGCAGTGAGGGTGTACTAGCAACGGTGTTTCTCTTTGTTACGTGTATCTTCCTACCTAGCACGCCAAAGCACTTGCTAGAACGAGGAAAACCCGAGCAAGCCCGGAGTTTACTCCAGAGGTTGCGGGGTGTGGATGTCGACGTGGAACCTGAGCTCAGAGATACCGTTTGCGCCATGACGCAGGACGGGGATTTGCCATTACTCAAGCTATTCAATAGGAATTACTGGCCTCATCTCGTAATGGTGGTGATGATCCCTTTACTGCGACAACTCACCGGTGCAAAGGTCATGATGACCTTTGCACCGGCATTGCTTGTTAAAATCTGGTTTTCGAAGGATATTGCTTGGCTCTCGGACATTGTGATCGCCTCTGTTAATCTCACAGCCAAAATCTATGGGGCTTTCGGCATCGAAATGTTTGGGAGGAGGCAACTTTTCCTAGGAGGAGGAGTTCTGATGTTCCTTTCCCAGGTAACACTGTTAAATGGGTCGTGTTCTGGAGATTACAGGGTATTGTTGTTGACGAATTAATGTATCTAGATACACATTTCTTCATTCCATAAACATGTTGTTCATTTTCTTGCCTTTTCCTTTATTGTTGTGGCTTACTAAATCGTAGGAATCGGTGTCGAAACCTTATTAAAAGCCTCAGAAGCGTTGTTTTTCTCAGGTAGTCATCGCAATAATCGTCAGGGTTCAGTTCGGGTGGAGCCTGCCTGGATGGTACGCCACTACAGTGACCGCCCTTATCTGTACCTACGTGATTGGGTACTCATGTTCGTGGGGACGGCTTGAGTGGTTCGTTCCTTCGGAGATCCGATCGGCCGCTCTTGGGGTCACGGCGTTCGTGGACCTTCTCTCAGAATTCCTTGTGGCCTTGCTCTTCCACCCCATGCTCTGCCACGTGGAGTTCTGGTGGTTCTTGTTCGTTGCATTTCTCTTGATGCTGATAAAGTTTTTAGTGTATGCCTTGCTTCCGAACAAGTAGATGAACGAGACGCTTTGTCGGAGGATGCAAGCAACGGCCGTCCGGTTACATCTATCTATGATTAGGGGTTCGGGGTTCGAAGTTTTGGGTTTAGGGTTTTACTCTATTTTTTTCTATAAATATTATAATGTTTTTTTTTATAAATTGTGATGCCAAATTGCCAATGCGGTATTCGAACTATGGATGGGTTATTATACTGTTTTTTTAATGGAATATTATAATGTTTTACGTTAAACTATAAATATTATAAATGTTTTACGTTAAATAACCAACTCCATCTACGTATCAATCAAATGGCCAATGTTGAGATTGGTTTTTAATAAATTGATTCAATAATTTAAAATTGGCAGAGTGTAGAGACACTTATGCAGATATATATATATATATATATATATATATATATATATATAATTTTGTGTTTCTTGATGGCAAATTAGAAAATATTAAGAGTTGAAATCTATATAAGATAGTGGGCCCATATTGTATAAATTTCTTATAGTTCCCACCCATTTTCTATGAGAGAACATTTTCTACGTATTATTAGCCTTGAAGATGTCTAGCAACTAAAAAAAATATGTCGACCACTTTCTTCAAATATAGATTCCTGCCTGTCATATATAATATATATGATATATATATATAATTAGGGAATTATCCTGAATTCAATTTTACAGTATTTATATAAAATAATTTTATGTAGATATCTTTGGAAAAAAATATTATCTATTGCTTTTCTACAAGGAGACTTGTCGAATGATCAGATTGTTTAAAAGTTTTAAATATGTCATGTTTTATTCGTTCCTATAAATGCGGACAATAAAATAAAGTATACATACATACATACATATATATATATATATATATATATATATATATTGCTATGCAGACAAGCACACGCTTAGTCTTCGATAGATCCATCCATTCCACGTGCGGGCCTTCCATTGCCTCATTCAGTTGTTTAAATAAAATCTATTTTTTTAAAAACATTTAAATAATATTTTTAAGTGGCCCTGTTCTTAAATTTTGTTTCTCCCATGAAAATCTTTATGGTTCCACTTTTTTCTATTTACTCTCTTTTTCTATTTTTTGGTTCATATTTTTTGGCAGTTTTATTACCATAGATAATAAATACAATCCTTTAATTTTTTATGACATCATAACTAGTTTTTCACCCCGCGTGTATCATACGGATTGTAAATACGAATAATTTTTAAAAATATTATTAGTTTTAAAATTAAATATATTATATTTTATTTCTGAATTTATAATTCATATACTAAATCAAAATGATAATAGTTTTAAAAATATTGAGATAGCGGTATAATTTCTATATTTATATAACAAATGTATTTACCTTTATATATAGTACGAATTAAAAATAAATATAGATTTTAAATAAATTATTAGTTTTAAAATTAAATATAATATATTTTGTTTTTAAATTTATAATTTGTATTATTAAATTAAAAAGTGACTTTTTATTATTAAATTAAAAATCGAAAACCTTAATAGTCACAAGAAGTTTTATAGATTTAGTTGATATTTTTAAGGCGACATATTTTTGTGTTAGGTTTATATTGTATTGTATAATTTTATATTTTTTTAAAAAGAAAGATTGTGACTCTCGAAATAAAAAATAAGACAAAACCTATATTATTGATATTATAGTTGATTTAACAAATATGTATCGGATATAAGTTTATTAAGTAATAAAATAAGAACATATATTTTTTTTAATTGTTTTTCGATTTGTAAGAATGGATTATACATATAACTATTTATTAAAAAACTCATTTTGATAGTTCAACCGGTAAAATAAAGACGTAAAACATTTGTTCTATCCCAAGTTCAAATCTTAAATTAGGGAGGAGAGTGTAATTCCAATAAAATGGTTTGCCTCCGGTCCTAGAATTAATTCGAACCTCGACCTAGGACACCTCTTAAAAAAAACTATTTGTTAAAGACTATGGTTTCGATCAAAAATAAATATTTTCTTATATAGATAAAATAAAATAAAAATAAAATATTGGTATAATACTAAACCTATACAATCCCACCTATATTTAAATTTTTTAGATATATGTTTAATTCAACCAAATTAATAAAATACAACATAAATAATGTTTCTTTTATTTGCCAATCTAAGTCATTGTATCATAGTAATATTTAACCACTTTTGTACTAAAAAATAAAAATAAAAATTATATCATATTTATATGATATATATATATATATTTTGTCACAATAATATTGGTTCAACAATCCATATGAAATCAATCAACTTCTAATTTAAATATATTTGAGTTAGATTCTCATTTAACTTGGCCTTTTCATTTAGTTTTGACTAATATTTTGTTAAATTTGTATCTTATTATTCTTATCATTCCAATTAGTTTATCTAATCCTCCACGATCCTTTCTAAATTCTTTGATTATACGATGAATGAATTGACTTAGTTTCTCATATGTGAAAACTCTCATCGTCTCATAAACCATCTAAGATAAGAGTTTGGGCCTCAAATAAAGTATCACTTACCAAACTCATATTCTAATAAAACTCGATATGACCGACCTTTTGCTTGGAATGTGAATTTCAAGACCTAATTTGATAAGTATCTTAAAAACCTTCAAAACAAAAAACCCATTGATATTAAGAGAAATTTACCCGATCAAACTGATATTTCACATTTACTCCTATAAAAACTGGTATTTTTATACTTTTTGTTAGATACATTTCAGATTTTTAAGAGTTAACGCAAATATTAATAGAAAATGTTGCACCATTGCACAAATTTCAGTTTGCATGATATGTCATTAAATATTATATAAATATAAACAATGAGATGATTAAATGTAAGAAGGTTCAAATATAAATAAATATCATATGTGATGGCATTTCATTTGATTATATATATAATATTAATTAGGATTACCTCGTACATACATGACTTTTGAATATAGAAAAATATACTTTATATATAGAAAAAATAACGAATATATCTATATTTAAGTTATTTCAAAAGAATTTAATGTTGCATATGTTTTGTGAGGAAATAGAGTTTATAAAAATAAAGTTTGGGTGTTATAATATTTTCTATTTGATTTAAATTATTTTTTTTATTATGAATTCTATGAAAAACACATTATTATCTGTACAAAATTCATACTTTTATTAATTAAATAATAATATGAAAAGTCACCTGAAACCATGAATTTTAACAAATATTTTATGTAAATATATGATTTTTTTCATTTGTAAATAAATAAATAAAATTTAACAAATTTATATATTCCCGTAAATTTTTTTATTTTAAGCCTTTTCTACGATTCTAACCAAATGTTCGAAACATATACTTTATTACAGTTCTTACCGAACGATTCTTTTGCGAAATAAAGACTCAAAGTTATCATTATTATAGAGAATACATATTTTCATTTGAAACTATTATGAGCATTAGTCATCGACAAAATATTTATAGATGAGAAATTTATTTTTCCACCTTAAACAAAACTTGTTTTGCCATTATACGTGAGGAACCATATATTTCATAGTTAAAAAAAATAGAGAGTAAATGATGAAACTCAATGTTTGACACTATACTATAGTCTATAAACATGAAGACAAAACCGGAAGAGGTCAACGGAGCCATGGAACACTCAATGTTTGACACTATACTATAAACATTATTACTTGTAACCCCTCCATTTATTTTGTCCTTCCTATGCTCTCAGCCTCTCACCTTATCCTTATTAGTTTTCTCTCTATTCTCAGCCTTTTCTTCTTCACCTTATACCAAATCTTTCAATTAGATCATCAAATAATCAAATGAGAGAATATAAGAACCAAATAATGATATTTCTCATTTGATTTTGATTATTGATTTTCGTATTAATTTTAATTTCTTTTTTTATATAAGGAAAAAATTAGAAAAAATAAGACCTATAAATATTTTTTTTTTGTCAAACCAGGAAGTTCACCTGAGCCTTCGGCCCAACCTACATCTCCTTGGGTCCGGGAGCAGCCTTTGAACACACAGCCTTTGACTATGCCTCTCCCTCCCCGCATGTCTGGATTCGAACCCCTGACCTGGAGGAGGAACACCCTCACTTCCAATCCAGGTACCACTCGACCACAGACATGTGGGTACCTATAAATATTTTTGTGAGTGTCTTTTTGCTTTAGTGTAGTTGGCTTGTTTTTTTTAAAAAAATTGTTTCGTTGTCTTGATTTTTAAAGATTATTTAGTTTTAGCTAGGGTTGTAAATCGGGCCAACCCGACCCGAATCCGCATTCAGTCCAAAAGTTTCGGACTCGGTTTCGGGTAGGTCCGATTTTTTCCGGGTCTAAGTAGTTAAGCCCGAAATCTGACCCTATATATGTCGGGTTCGGATTCGGATCAGACCATACCGGCCCGTATAAATCCTTTGTAAAACTTTTTTTTTCTTTTTTTTTTCTTTTCTAATATCGGACTTTCAGGCCGATCCGACTCGAATCCGAAACCCAATTCGAGCCCGCCCGAAAGTACGAATTTTTTCAGTCCGAGAAACTTAGATCCGAAATCCACTAATTTTCGGATGGGCTGGAACGGACTTGGTCCAAATTCACACCCCTAGTTTTAGCAAATGAATCAAAGAACAATGTACTTAGTTTAGGTTTTCATAAAATCAAAATAAAAATTATTCTGCAATCAAATCAATTGACATTTTTGCTTCAAGTTTCGGGGACATCAGATCCACTAAGGAAGAGAAGTCGCAAGCGCAGTAGTTTGGCCTACACGGAATAATAGATTAACAAATATTAATTATATCATATTCCAAAAGACGAAGGAATTTCTCTATATATACACGCTGGTGATCGGAATTCTTCTACATCCACATTCTGAGGTTAATGACAAAAAAAAAATTATATATAAAAAAAATCAATTTCTTTCTTAGCCGCTGTGTTCATCATGTTAGGAAGGTGGGTGACTGAGCCGTTGAGGACCGATCCGAACCCCGAATGTTGTACTTGTCGTACACCTTTTCCCGGTTCTCGGACCACCACGCCTCGGCTTGTTGCTCCCTGAATCTTCTCCGGCTGTCAAAAGATGGATATTTCGAGTGTTGGATCTCCACATTCTTCGGCAAAATTAGTTTTGACAACAAATCGGTTCGATGCTTTACCTGAAACGCACGCGTTTTAGATCCCTGGTTCCATCGCGAAGTGCCACGAGTGTTATGTAAATGCCGGGTTCGTATTGCTCGATCCACTCGGCTTCCACTTGCGGAGCACTTGCCTCCGATTCTACGTTTCTCGCCTTTACGCTGTCTTGGAAAGGTAAAGGTTGGTTGCTTTCAATACCTCCCGAGAAACCATTACTCGTGCGGATTCCATCATTCCTCGGAGACAGGGAATTCGGCCAGAACCTGTTGAGTGAAGCAGTGCTGGCAGCTAATGGTGAAGCCAGTGAGCTGTCGCCGCTAATTGAATCAGACTGTGATGGACGCTGTCCGTTTGCATCGTCAAAATGAAAACCATTTTGCTCAAATCCGTTAAGCAGATGGGCGGTCTCGGCTTCGTATGATCCCGGTGGTAGGCGCTCAGCCATTTCCTTTAGCTGCAAGAAATTTTTCCAATCAAATCATGGGAATGGGAATTCGGAATGCCATTACACATGGACTATATATCAAGCACGATTCACAAATACAGGGATACTTTCGAAATATGCAAGCGGAGTTCAGACAACGGCGACGATTAATTGCGATTAATTGAGAACGACCTGTGCTGTAAGGGACTTTATCACGTCTTTTGCAGCTTTTGATTTAGCAGATTCCTCTGAAACCACAGCCATTGCTTCTTGAACTCTCATTGCAGATTTCTGAAGCTCGTATTCTTGGACCTCGCATCTGTGTCTCAGGCTCTCAACCTGAATAATAACCAGCATTTTTTGCAAAAAACGATAAGCTTACAGCAAAGTTTCTTGACAAATAAATATAGCTTTGGAAAGAACAACAGAGAATTAAAATAAAGGCCGGGAAAAGAATTTTACCTGGGCACGCAACTTGAGAACTTCTTGATTCAGAAGCTCATTAGTCTTGTTCAAACTCTCAGAAATACTTGTTGAGAAAGCGAGACCAGTTGTCGAAGGAATGGGAGTAACCGAACGAGGAGGACTAGATCTCCTTGAGAAAGGTGACACAGATCTGGAGCTTACTGCAGATGGAGTAGCCGATGGCTTTGGAGGCACACGCCTCATATCACCCGTACTTGACAGAGGCGTTTGAGAAGTGCGAACAAGTGAGAAAGTCTCTGATTTCTTTCCTTGTCTAGCTGCCTTGCTATCCAACTGCTTGATCAAATCTATATTTGAAGGCAATCCAGACTTAGCCAGTCTTATCTCGGCTTTGTCCAATCTGTCCTTGTTCTCACCGGAAAGACGCGGCATCGTGTTCTTCTTGCTATTAGTGCTAGCTTCTACCACTTTGCTCAGTTTAATGTAACACAAATCACAGACCCGGTAGGGCTTTCCAGGGTTAGGAGCCAAGGCAGCTCTCAGAGCTTTCTTAGAACTGCAGGAATGACAATGGACGAGACCGCAGTTGTAGCAGTTGTGTCTTTTCCGTGTGAACCCGAAAGCCTGTCTACATGCAGAACATTGAGATTGCTCAGCACCAGAAACCCATTTATGAAGACATATCGCTGCTGTATAGTTTGAACCACATGCGACATATTTTACGTGTCTATCTTTCAAAGCATCGACAAGAGTCGGTGTTTTTCGGTCTGTGATATCTCCATGACCTAATCGCCCATTGGCACCCTTGCCCCATGTGTACACTTCATTCCTAGATGTTAAAACTGCTACATGATATGCACCACAGGCTACTTCTTCGACACACTCGTTAGTGAGCCCGTCTTCTACTAAGCAAGGAAGCTTCCCATCAGCAAGGGGATTCCCTAATTGACCATAAACCACACTTCCCATAGTAAAAACATTTCCTGAAGTGGTCAAGGCGACTGTCAAACTATGTCCACATGCAACTCTGTGAAAATTATAATCAATCAGAGCTGGTACACATGTGGGTTTAAGACGAAGCTCTTTATCTCCATGTCCAAGACGGTTTTTATCTCCATCACCCCAGGTGAAAAGCTTTCCTGATGAAATACTTGAACTTGACTGAGTAACAATGACTTCAACTACTGCAGCAGTATGCCATACACCACATGCGACGGCAATTGTTCTAAGCCCAGATAAGGATTCAACTTCTCTCGGGTAAAATACAGTTTCTCTATCACCGTGCCCCAAAACACCGAATGTCCCATCGCCAAAAGTAAAGAGCTGTCCAATTGATGTTATCAACGCAGTGTGCCATGGTCCACAGGTCACTGAAGCAACTTGTAGACCTTCAAGAGGTCCGGAGATTCTCTTAGGTATCCAATGACTTACATCAGTGCCATGGCCAAGAAGCCCTGCATTGTGTGTTCCATCACCCCATGTATAAACCTCTCCCGTCATTGTAACAGCACATGTATGGAACTCACCACAGGCAACAAAATCGACACCGGTAGCAGCTAGGGACTCAATAAGTTGTGGTCCAGTAACATCTTTTCCATTCCCATGGCCAAGTCGTCCTCCAGATTCTTCGCCCCATGTAAAAACCTCACCTTGTCTAGTCACAAGAGCGGCATGCCTTACGCCACATGCAATATGGTGTACATCCAAAACTACGTTGGACTCCAATGGCCTTGGAAGTAGAACATCAGATCTTGAAGTGACATAATTCACATTTTTACTGGCCTCTACTTTAAAAGCATGATCGCATATCACCTCACCCCATATATAAACATCACCTAGGGCATCACAGTCATCTGGGACAGAACCATGACTTGAGGTACTTTGCGCACTAGATACACTAACCCGAAACACATCTGACCCAGATCCTCTTGCTATCATGTTGGGGCTATCAGATGCTACATGTGACCTCCCAAAATTGACAGAATTCTCAGGTCTAGAAGGTTCTGGAAGACTGATTGAATTGTCAGAAAAGGCCTCAGCAATGCTGAAATCTCGAGAAGCACTAACCGAGCTGTTGGCAGAACTACCTAATGTCAAGTCTCTGCTGTCCTGAAGATGATGAAAATCAAACAAAATATGACTTTACGAAAATCACCGCAGAGTTGCTCCTTGTGAGAAAAGAAAGGAATCTAGATCCACCATAAGAAAACATAGGAGAAGGCTTTAATCATATAATACATTTAGAAGTGATCAAATAACACTAAATAAACCCTTTTTAAGCACATTTTTTTTATTACGTACAGCGATGGAGAGACCTCCATCACTCCAGCCATCAATCTTTGAGCGCCCACCCTGACCTGATATCAAAGCTTTGAGGCCTGCTATCCACACTTCTGCCTCAACTTTGTCCTTGCAGATCTGAAAAAAAGAGAACCTATTTCAATGAATTAAACAGAAGGAAATGATAACCTGATTAAAAAAGAGTACCAAAGATCCATCACCAACCAAATCAAGTGTCCGCTTCGCGTTGTTGTATATGAGAGAAAAAGATAAATAATCCTTTTCAGGACGGAGGTAACGTTGGAAAACAGCCTAGTAGCACAAACGGAACACAATCCATAAGATTTTTACAAACAAAATACTTGCAATTTTGCTGTCATTGCATGACGCTGTGGTAAAAGAGAAGAAGAAATTTACAGTTCTTTGTCCTGGAACAATCCTAGAGACGGAAGATATCTTCAGACGTTTTTCACCACCATTTGATATCCAGATCAAAAATGTCTCATCCTGCAAATAAAACATGTCCAAGATGGTAAGCCATCAAACAAAATCAAAGTATAAGCTGACAATGTGATAGCGTATTAAGGATCAAAACAGCAAGGACATCAATTTCCTTGAAACACTTTGGCGAGTGGATCCATATACGCATTGATCTAAAATTATAAAATCTAAACAAAAGGATCCACATTACATCCATACAGCTGTGCTTGCTGTAGCCATGAGGAAGACTTTTAGCACAATATGAAACAAGTAAAAACTTTCAAGCTGACTGATAATGAAACTCTTGGGGAATGAGGTTTCAATCAAAACTATAAAACGTCATTCCAACTAACTATTTCGCCACCATCAAAAAATTTACGCTTAGAGAGCACTAAGCTTTATCTACAGTCTGGTAGAAAGAACCTTTAGACTTCTTAGCTTATCAAGAATTCTGCTAGTACCCCAAATATGAAGAATAACAACAGAGCTTCAACTGTGCACCCCAAAGAAAACATACATTAGAAAGTCGGAAGGGACAAAACTTTGGCTTTCCTTTCCGACCATACTTCAGAAGTTGAGCACCTTTCTTCAAAGCAATCAAAGCCTACAAAAAGACACGAAGGATATTGTAGGGAAGATTCAGGAGAGTCCAAAAAATGCCACAAGAGGAAATCGAAATCACAGAGACAGCCAAGCATAAGTTTTAGACTTATTCTATTGAAACCGATTATGGACCCAGAATAGACTTATATCCCAATCACGTGAAGAGAAAATAACGCTAACCAACCAAAAAATCAGTTCAAAGGCCCCGGGACCAGTCATGAACTCCACTAATGGACGAACATAGATGAAAGCATATCCGAGAGTACCAACGATGCAAGAAATAGCCAAATTTCCCTGAACATTCGTGACTTCTCCATTGAAACTGGAAGCCCAAACCGAGTCAGAGTATCACCATCCCCCAGACGGATGATTCACATTCGGCATACACCAATACCGAAGTCTCCCATTCTCATCAAAATGAAAATGCAGGAGAGAGAGAGAGAGAGAGGACCTGCTCGATGTCTCGCTCGGCATTACCGTAGCTAACAAGATCTGCCATTCCATGTGAGATGTTCGCCGAACCGCCACCCTCTCCGAACGCTCCCTGGAGCACCGGTCATCATAAACAAACAAGAAGGCGTGAAGTCCCCACCGCCTTAACCATCAAACTCCGCCGTTCAAACCACACCCAGACCGTCGCACACTATGTATATCAAGTCGTCCGACGAAAAGTGAAACTGTCTTCAAAGAAAAAAAGGTAAAAAAACGCAAAGCCACTCCGTTTAGCTCCACAAACTGTGCAGATCTGCGAATCTCTACGGAATTCGAAACCCTAACCACTCGTTCTCAGAGTTCACGTAAAATTCGACCGATTTCAGCTACTACTCAAGGAAAAACCCGCAACTGTTCGACTGGTAACAGCTGTAATGCTCAGAAATTCTTGCGAAAAGCGATTTCCCAGCAATCGGAGACAACTCCCCGGCGACCGAAATCCTTTCGTAGCGAGTAGTCGAAGATGAAAACGGCGCTGGAAAAATGGACGGAAGAGACGAGGAGAGACCGGAGAGAGAGAGAGAGAGAGAGGGAGGGAGAGAGAATATGAAATCTGAGCGTAGTAGAGAGAACCGGCGGCGAAAATACTTTCGTGCAGAAATCCAAATACGGACGGAGTCAAAGATGAAAAGTAAAATATTGGATTAACAAGGAAAAAAACAAAAAAAGGTAATTATATTTTATTCCTACCAATGTAAAATGGTAAATCATCTGACAAAAATTAGTAATTCAAACAAAAATTCCTTTTGCTTCATCATTTTTTTTAATTTTTTTTTTGGTCAAAATCATTTTTTTAAATTTTAGCTTGCAAACAATAACACAACGTAAATTTTGGTATGTCTTCTTATATAATATATGTATATATATAATGTCCTATTTAAATAATACACCTCTATGAATATTATTCTATTTTTAATTATCACCTACTAATCAGGAATTAAAAAGCATTTTTGTCAAAACTAAAATTCAAGCGAAAGTTACAGGTCCACCCATTAATGGTATGACACCATAACTGGGCATATGAAAAAATAAAATAAAAATAATAATTCTAGTTCCTAAGTATATTGATTAATAGAAAGTTACAGGTGCGTAATTTTTATTTACAATAAATTATATAAAATACATTTTTAGATAGATTATTTAAAGATATAAAAGACATATTTTTTTATTTCTAAAAAACTCATAAAAATATATGAATTTTCTAACATATTTAAAAAAATTTATCAATTTTTAATTTGATAAATAAATAAAATAAATATTTAAATGTGTCATATACCAATTTTTAATTTGATAAAAATGTAAATATTTAAATGTTTCATATATAAATTTTAACTCGATAGCTCTTTCCAAATTGTTTTATATACGAATTTTAATTGAAATAATTTTAAAAGCGTACATTGTGTAAAATTATTTTTTATTTTAAGATTTTTTTTATATATATTTCAAAACACAATATATTTATTTTTATCAAATTAAAATTTCTATATCTTGTGTTACATTTTAAAGTTTGTGTATTTTTGAAAATTTTCTATTTCAGATTCTCTAATGATTTTTTATTATAAGGTTTGATGAAATAAAGGGCTGTTTGAAAATTCAAAATTGGTGCAATCAGAATACAATATTGACGCGGAAAAAGATAGAGTCGCGATCACTTACATGGCATGAGGAGACAATGTCAAATCCCGAGGCGACATTTGGCAATATACTATAAAAATACATAGTTTAAAACACTCAAAATGACTACTTACTTTATTATTATTATTATTATTATTATTATTATTATAATGATGGGAGTTGTATTTCTTTGTAAGCAAAGAAACCCATGAATAGAATACTCATTGCATTGTTTATTTTTTATTTTTAACCAGTCATATTATTTAGGCTGCTTTTTTTTATATTTCTCTTAAGGTTGCACTACACGTCGTCTTTAAAGCCTTTGAATCCAAACGTGACCTTAGAGAGGCTTCGACGGCGAGGTTGGAGGTTATCTCACGCGCCGGCGAGCGTTACGTCATTACGTTACGGCGGTGGTGTCCGCACGTTGGGTTGGGCTGACGATAATACCCTTCTTGTATGATGACATGGCAGAGACGAAACCAAGTTATTCGGCTAACGATAAGAGTGATAAATACTTCATGCATGGAGTTTGTCAGCCGCCTGGTAAATGCATGGAGTTTCATTTTCATGCTCTCCAAGTTCCTGTTGAGACAGATATCACATGCCCTTGACCGTGGACAACCAAATCGATGCACACTAGGGGTGGGCATAATTCGGATACCCGAAAAAATTGAGAGATTTGGATTTGGATCCGGAAGACTCCGCTATTTAGCTATAAGATTTGTATCCGGGATTTGGAATTTATGAGTATCCGGGATACGTGTATTCGAAATAATGGTCGGATATTCGCGGGTATCCGGATCCGGATTTATTTAAAAAAACAACAATATTTATATATAAAATTTGTAAAAATAAATATATATTTATAAAAATTGATGAATTATGATAAAATATATGAGATAAAGGAGATAATAAGAGATAAATAATAATAAATTTATTTTTTTGAATTAATATTAAAACATATGAAATTATTTAATCTAAAATAATTATATTTTATAAAAATGTTATATTAATATAAGATATAATTATTTATAATCATAATAGTCGGGTACCCGCGGGTATCCGGTTTTAAAAATTCTATTATTCGGATTTGGATTCGGATTTACGGGTATTAAAAAATTGGGATTTGGATCCGGATTTGAAAATTACGAGTACTCTAAAATCAGATATCCGTGAGACGAGTATCCGATGTATACCCGATTTTTGGGTATTTGTGTCCAGCCCTAGTTCTGATATTCCCATTTGTATGATACCCGCAGATATCCGTTTTAAAAATTCTATTATCCGGATTTGGATTCGGATTCACGGGTATTGAAAAATCGAGATTTAGATTCGGATTTGAAAATTACGAGTACCCTAAAATTGGATATCCGTGAGACGAGTATCCGACGGATATCCGATTTTCGGGTATTTGTGTCCAGCCCTAATGCACAGAGATATCGTACCATGAGAGATCACATACTTGCCTTGAAGTTTTGGTATCACTTGACTAAGAAAAATTAGTAGCCTTTTGTATTTTCCACTTGAGCATGGGAATTTTAGTATGCCTCAAGGACCTTTTTATACACTACCATCTAAATGTTTTAATTCTAAAGTAACAAAGAAAGAACGTTCAACCAGCCAACAAAAAATTGGTTACCAATCACTACTTATAAAACAATTATACCAGCTTTGACATAATTAAACTTGGTATCATTTATTATAAAAAAGGGTTTTCTCCTTTTCACCAAGCTTGGTCCAAAAGCCCAATATTCTTTTTTTTTTAATTTTGATATTCGAAAGTTATGATCTATTTTTTTTTGAAAATTTTTGGTTAAATGAAGAGTTGTTTTCATTTTCATTTTTTAATACTCTTTCCAGAGAATAAATGATAGATCGACAAATTAAATGATTATATCGTAAGGAGAGATAAAAATATCATTTTGTATTATATATATATATTAAAATTAAGATTTTATAAGAATATTGTGAAATTAAAATAGTAGAATAATAGTATTTTATGTATTAAATGCGTTCCTCCTCGAGTTTTGCTTACCTTTTCAAACCCCAAGAAGCCATCCACGTGGGCCTGTCAGATGAGGATAAATAACGGGACCCACATTTATCTTGATTCCAAGGGTCCCACATGATTCTCTCGTTGTCGTTTCCCGAAAACATCTCTGAAATATTTACATTTCCACCCCATAAAGTTTTAGATTCTTGTATTAAACCAAAAATATTTCAATTTATCAATATTTGGAAGACAAGATTTTGTTTTCGGTCTTCCAACAATCGCATTAGAGAATAATAATATTAGTATGAGAAAACATCATATTTGCTAAAATATTTTTTACCTTGTGAATACAATACTCACATTTATAATTTTTTTATCAATATATTTTAATGATTAAAAATCTATTCATATAAAAACTATCTTTATAATTTTATTACAAATTATATAAAAATAAATTGTATCGATTCTTAAAATGTTTCAAACAGTAATTTTAATTCACGTGAACATGGAGTTTTGATAAATTAATTTCCACCTAATCTAAATCTAATTAAAAAATTTGTGGTATATAACGAATATAAAATAAAATAAATATATAAGAAATGTTCCACGATAGTGTTAATGTTCCCTAAAATTTTTAAAAATAATCAATTATGATATGATATTTTTTATCACAAGTACCACGGTAGCGTTCATTTTAAATTTATATTTTTGAAATGAATGGACCAATTTGTTTTTCTATAAACATTAGGAATAAAAAAAGAATTAAGGCTTTCAAGAGGGTCAAAAAAATAAATAAACAAAAGATTTGGGGAAGCCCAAGCAACCGATCTTTTCTATCATTTTTTTTATTTTAGAAATTTGAAAAATGATCGCTCATCTGATTCTCATGAGAAGGTAAAGCATCCATTCTCGCTTGCTATAAAAAATAAACGAAGCTCCATCCATCTCTCTCGGTCTTCCATATCTCTCTCTCTACCTCCATTTCACCCCCTCTCTCTCTCTTAGATCTGCGATTGTACCGGATTCAGTTTCTGCAGTAACAATGTTGGGAGCTTTGGAGGAGGAGACGGTGGCGATGAACGGGAAGGCGGTAGAGATCTTGTCGGAGGATTTCGATCCGACGGCAGTGGTGGCGGAGCCGCTGCCTCCGCTCGCGGAAACGGTTAATGGCGTAGGGGATTTTGAAGAAGATGACGTTTGTCCGGTGAAGGAGAAGGTGAAAAATACCACGACGACGGAGATGAACGGAGGAGAGAAGGAGATCGTGCTCGGTCGGAACGTACACACAACGTGCCTCGCCGTGACGGAGCCTGAGGCCAACGACGACTTCACCGGTGACAAGGAAGCGTACATGGCGAGCGTCCTGGCTCGGTACCGCAAAACCTTGGTCGAGAGGACCAAACACCATCTGGGTAATTTCCTTTTTTGGTAACTTGCAATCCATCTGGGTAATTTCATGATTTAGAAGAATATTAGGGTATGTACAAGATATGTAAGTAATATATCACAGAACAAATCCTGACCAAGGCCGACCGAATCTAGATGCGAATCAAGGGCCTTCTTCATTTTATACGAATATATGACCATGTTCCTCCTGTAGACCAAGTGTTCGAGGTATTTCCTGAATGGGGGAGGTTTCGGTACATTATGTGGAATCTGGTTTGTCGTAGGTTATCCGTATAACTTGGATTTCGATTACGGAGCTCTGGGGCAGTTGCAGCATTTCTCCATCAACAATCTGGGAGATCCGTTCATCGAGAGCAACTACGGTGTTCACTCCAGACCCTTTGAAGTCGGTGTCTTGGATTGGTTTGCACGTCTTTGGGAGATTGAGAAAGATGATTACTGGGGTTACATTACAAACTGTGGCACCGAAGGAAACCTTCATGGGATTTTAGTTGGGTATGTTTGGATGAATCTCTGCTGTCTGGATCTGAGAAGTAGTTATTTCTGTTGTTAATCGATGCGAGACAATTGATACTGTTGCTGGTTTGATCTTGCAGGAGGGAAGTGTTTCCGGATGGGGTTCTGTATGCATCTCGTGAATCGCATTACTCTGTCTTCAAGGCGGCTCGTATGTACAGAATGGAGTGCGTGAAGGTCGATACGCTTATATCGGGAGAGATCGACTGTAAGGATTTCAAAGAGAAGTTGCTGGCTAACAAAGGCAAACCCGCAATCATCAACGTGAACATAGGTTGGTGTCTTTTATATCTTTTGTGCCATGTGTCCTGTAATGTGTGATTTACGGTCTTGTGGCTAATGAGTATGTTGTCCCGCAGGAACAACTGTGAAAGGAGCTGTTGATGACCTCGATCTTGTTATCGAAACCCTCAAAGAGAATGGCTTCTCGCAGGATAGATTCTACATTCACTGCGATGGAGCTCTGTTCGGATTGATGATGCCTTTTGTCAAACGTGTAAGTTCTCTCTTCGATCCGATCTTGTTTGTTCATCCTCTTTCGGATGTCCCTCTAAGCTTGATATTTTCGGGTTATCTTGGATGTCATGAGATATCTGTCACTGGATCTGTTTTGCTGAGCCTGATTCTCCTTCTCGACTGTGAACAGGCACCGAAAGTCACATTCAAGAAACCGATAGGAAGTGTGAGTGTCTCGGGCCACAAATTTGTCGGTTGTCCAATGCCTTGCGGTGTACAGATAACGAGGATGGAGCACATCAAAGTACTCTCGAGAAATGTTGAGTACCTCGCCTCGAGGGATGCAACGATCATGGGAAGTCGGAATGGGCATGCCCCGCTGTTCCTCTGGTACACCCTCAGCCAAAAGGGCTACAAGGGTTTCCAGAAAGAAGTCCAGAAATGCCTAAGAAATGCTCATTACCTCAAAGACCGTCTTCGAGGAGCCGGGATCAGCGCCATGCTTAATGAGCTCAGCAGCACCGTTGTCTTTGAACGGCCCAAAGACGAAGAGTTTGTGAGAAGGTGGCAGCTCGCTTGCCAGGGAAATATCGCTCACGTCGTGGTGATGCCAAGCGTCTCGATCGGTAAGTTGGACAGCTTCCTGAACGAACTCGTCGAGCAGAGATCACTCTGGTACAAGGATGAGTCTCAGCCTCCTTGCGTGGCTTCCGATGTGGGCACTGAGAATTGCATCTGTCCGACTCACAAGTGAAACCGGTTTCGGCAGTATCCGTCTGTCTGTTGTCTCGTAAACCAATCGGTTATTTTCTGAATCATTTTGTTATACCCTGGAAATTGGTTTTGCATCAGTGTTAAATTTTCCGGTTTAGCTACTTGACTGGCTTCCTTAGTAAATTGTTTACAAAGTCACCTGATATTTTAAGTGGAACGGACAGCGTATGTGCATACTGATACAAATGAGATCACACCATGACCATTCACAGTATATATATATATACATGAATGCATACATACCTCTACATGCAATGATGCAACCTGAAACAAATGCTAAATGCCTCTCCAGCGAAAGTGAAGTAACCAGACGTGAAATGAACTTAGCCGCGCTTTGTGAAATCCATGAAGGTCGGGTGCTGTGGCTGTCCATTCGTGCTGGAAGGCGGCGAGTTGGTCATCTGTTGTCTCTTGTGAGCTCCGAACTGATGGAGCATTGTCGGCTGAGCTCGGTTGTAAGCGTTCCCGTTGGGCGGAGGGATTTCTCCGGCGGCTATCTTTAGTCGTTTTAGTTCTTCCCTCAGCGTCTCATTCAGGGCTGCAGCCAAGTTGCATGACTTAAGGGTTATTCTCCGTGAATTCACGCTCTTCTCTATGGCTGGACGTGGGTACCCGGACCCATGGATACCCGATATTCCGAAATCTGAATGCTGGCAAATACTCGAGCCGTGGGTTCGAGTACGGGTTCCATCCTCAGGGAGATGGAGGAGAGAGAGGGCACGCCAGCATCAAGGGGAGATGAGGCGAGATCAGCAAAGGTGGCAAGGCAACTGTCCGGGTTCGCGGTGAATAGGGTGTTTTATAATCTTTTTGAATGATTTTTTTAAGAGAGATTAAGATTTGATTTGCTTTAAGTTTCGAGGCAGAGAGAGGCCGAGGGCGATTTCTATGCCTCACCTTTGAAATTCGCCGCACCTCTTATGAGGTACACCTTGACTCACCCCTTCCACTCGAGTCCTCCATCTCTCCTCCCGAATCTTGCCCTCGACGCACCCCGTGGGTACCCGGCATCCAGATACCCGACCCTCATAAGGCCGAGACCAAATCCCCTGACCGAGAAACCCAAGGGAGACGAGGCTGAGATCAGTGGCCGGAAAATCCAGGTGCCCGTACCCACCCCTACTCTTCTCGGACTCGCTTGTGCTTAAAAGGTTTGCAGAACAATCAAAGGGATTAAATGACTTACCATCCCGAAGTTGAGCTTGTTGCTCCAGGGCTTGCAACCGCAGTTTGAGTTGTTTATTCTCCGTGGACAGTTCAGATGTGCCTCTCTGTATCAAACACAAACAAAATCAGTTAGTTGTCGGACTGACCTCGTTAGGTAGCATTTCCTGAATTGTGCTGAAAGTTTAACTTAGAGATGAAGGGCAAAACATTTAACAGTCATGGGAAGAAAAATGAGGGTTATTATCGTGATTCGTCAAGCATAGCTCGGTCTTAAAGCAAGGAAAAATAAAACAGGGATCACAACTCCCGACTCCCGAGCAACCTGGCTTACTGAAAACTCTCCATCCCTGAAGCTGCGAAGTTTTCCATCATACCTCGCATGATTACCAGCTTTACACGACAAGATCCATCACTTCTCATTACTCTGTGTCTACCAAATGAAGGTAAAGAACGAAAACATCGAGAAGTAATCAAACAAACAAATCCTACCAACACTTGAACAAGATTTAGAGAAACAGTTAACCAAGATATACGGACCGAGGAAAGAGCTAAATACAAGCACAGATCGCGTATATACATACATATATAGAGTTGAGAAGATAGTGAAAGAAGCAACCATAGAAAATTCGGAAAGAAAAGTAAACCTCCTCTTGATGACCATCTTCATTAAACTAAATCCAAAGGATTTAACTTGTGAAGAAGAACGTACGTGTAAACGCAATATGGCCTTGACCAAGTCCTGTGTAAATCATGTTACCTGCAACATGGTGACCTGAGCGGATAGAGTGGTTGCTTCATTCTGAAGTGTCTGCACCTTCCTCTCCAGCTCATTCGTATACCTAATCTTCCTCTCCTTCGACCTTGCCGCAGATTGTCTGTTCGCTAGAATCCTATGAACACCACATCACAGGACAAAGATCAAAACTTTCTTACCTATCATCAAGTAGAAGGGACCATAATTCCAAATTGGGCTTTCGCCAAACAGCTCATCGATTCGAATATGCCCAAGGAAAACTGTCATGGACTCTAAACATTACCTATAGCGGAATTGGGGAAAATGAAAACCCTAATTCTGGTCCGAATTCAGGAAGAGAATAACTGGAAGTTGGAGCTTCAGTGACGTTAAACGACAAATTTTCTTAGATTTACCGTTTAGCTCTCTTGGGATCGATGAGTGCAAGCTCGGCGAGTTTGTCGCTTCCCATACCCATTGCCTTCTTCGAACCGTCCTTGCCACTCACGGCAGCGAGAATCGATTCGAGGTTAAGCGATGCCGAACTGCTAGCTCCGTCCATGGAACTACTCCTGTGATGACGCCCCGTCTTCTCTCCGGTATCAGCGGCTAGAGTTTTCCCGCTGAATTGATCATCCGCCATGGCAGAGGATGAGAGCCCTAGGTCGTCGAAGAAATCGGAGTCAACCGATAAGCTTCGGACATGGCGGACGGGTCTGGGGAGATATGTCTGCGGTGGAAGAAGCGGCGGGCCGTTGGATGAGGACTCGTCGGAGGGAGAATCGACGGCCATCGGTGAGACTTGCGGCGGAGGAAGAGGCGGAGTTGCGGCAGAGAGGAAGTGAAGGGAGGATAAGTCAATATCGGGAGGATCGAAGAGGAGAAGATCGTCGAAGGAATCACCGCCGGAGAAGAAGGTGTCGGAGCGAGCTCGCCGGTGATGAGACACGCGCTGACGCGGCGGCACGTCCGGCATACGGTCTATCTCGCTGAGCATCGCCGGATTTGGTCTCAGATTTCCGTCCATAGCTTCTCCGGTGAAGGAGGCTGCTGCTTCACCGCGGGGTCGGAGGTGGCGACAAAGGAGCTTGGAGAGGCTGGTCGCGGAGACGATGGTAAGGAAAAAAATGAAAGAGTTGCAAACAAAAGCTGAAAGCAAAGCAGAGTGAAAAGTTTTGGTCGTAAAATGAATTAAATTTATTATTTTGTTTGATAAAATAAAATATTAGTTGGACATAATTTTAAACACTTTTAGACCAAATTAAAAAAGAATTTGGCACTTATAATTTATGTTTTGATATTCATAGCTCAAAATTTTAAAATATTTTTTCTCTAATTTTAAATGAAACTAACTTTCAAGAATTTAAATTCCTTAAAATAAAGATTCATTGATTTAATGTTTTATTTTTAATCAGATTGTGAAAAAATATATTATAAAAGAAATTTGGACTTATACTATATATAAATATGTAGAAACCATTCACCGAATTTTGTCACACAATTTGGAAACACACAAATTTATAAAAACAAAAACGATGTACTTATTACTGTGGAAATTATCTATAACTTAAAACATCGTACACCTAAAAGATTTTGGATATTTAAATTAAATTTTTGGATATTTTTATCGATTTATTATTGGATTTTCTTTGCTTCGCAGCAAAAATGAGGACAAAAAGGATATTTTCTTAAAATTATTATTTTTTAAACTTTTGTTCTTCTTTTATAATGATAGATATAGGAAAAATCCACAAGTGAGAAAGTTATTGTGCCACCAACCATTACATAACTCTTCACAAGAAAATGACATTTGTTCTTTCTTAATTAATGATATTAGTGACTAATCTAATATCTGTATTTGCCAATAATGCGCACTGTAATTTCAAAATCTACATCATAGAATTGGAAGAAGAGGGGCCCAAATTTATCTTGCTGACGTAAAGATAATTTTGTTATAAGGAAAAAGCCACCCAAAATTATAAAATTATCGAAATAGACCACATTAAATTATATAGTTTTTTTTCTAATTAAATACATTTTGTCTCCATCTGTAAGAAAAAAAAATTATCCTATGATCGAATCGGTACATTTGAAACATTAATTTTCATACAAAACCACACAGCGAATCATTCACTTAAAACAATATGTGAATGGACCAAACAATCGGAATATTCATGTTCATACAAATCATATGAAAAGTTATACACCAACACAACAGAAATAACGGCCAAACTCCAGATTCT